GGTGGAAAGCTAAAGCCAGACTTTTCTGAGAATACAGGTTCTTGCACGGGATGAGGAGAGTCAAGGCGGTGCTTCTCTGCGATGGCCGAGACAGCTGCTTCGACATTCTTCTCAAATTCTTCGTCGGTGATAGTCAACGTTGTCCGGTCCATGTTCTCAATGAACTGGATGGCACCCATCTGAGTGGAGTTAGCATAAAATCAAAGTGTGAGTCGAATAATCATTGATAACTTACCAATGATGACAGGTAGTAGCCTGCCTCGCCGCCGAGCTTCTCCTGGTTCCTGAAACGCAGAATGTACTGTACGTTGGAGACCAAATGCTCGGGATTGGCTTGAAGGACAACGTAAATTAAAAGAGGCATGAAGGAGTCTGCGGAAGAATCCGATTTGGAATGCTTCAGCAGGCCTTGGATTGGTCAGACATCGAAATCGGTAAATTGTCAGCGCGAGACTCACCAAATATGACCTTGCAGCAGTTCAAGACGCAGATGATCTTGTCTCGAGGGGCCCTGTAAGACTTGATTTTGAGAAGTTCTATGAGCGGTTAGCAGCGACCAAAGTTGGCTCGAAGTAACGAGGCCACGAACCTTGCTGGGCTAGTTTCAGGAACCGCCTACCACTCTCGCCAGCGGGGGGAATGTCCAGATGCTCTTCTCTCAACCAGGCGTAGATCTGGATCTTTTGCGTCAAAACATCGTCGCGCTCAATATCTTCTTGGTGCTGCCCCCTCCGTCCGGGTCCCATGGGTCGCTCGCCACCTCTCCTCTTTGGCTTCGCGCCGGGGATAGGTTGGGGTGGAGGAATCGCAGGAGAGAAGGTCTGAGTGTAGAGTCTGTTCATGACGAGCTTCTCCATACCCTCGCGCGCATTATCAAACTCGGCGTCAGAGACGTCCCGCCACACCTCACACTGGGCCATCTTGTTGGCGATGAATGCCAAGAAATCACTAATGATCTTGACCTGCTCGTGCACCATCCACTGTCGCTTTCCAAACTCGGACAAGAACGACTTGAGATATCTGGCGACTGGGTCTGCCTTTTTGTTTCGTAGTTGTTCTAAGAAACGGTGGAAATCGAATGGTAGTGCTGGCTCGGGCTCGGGCTCGGGCGGCGGCGGTCGGTGTAGTCCTGGAGACATTTGAGAATCGACACTCATCTGGCGGTCATCGTGCGAACGCGCCGGGGTTGCGGGCGGCCCATCCTTAGGGGGCACCGGCGGCCCTTGATCGTCAGTTGGCCTTTCGCGGGAGAGGATGCTCGAGGGAGAAGCAGTGTGTATCCTAAGGCCCTGCAGCTCCTGCACCTGATGAGAAAGCGACGGCGCCACCAGAGGCTCGAGACTAGACTTGCGAGGAGGGTGCTGAATTCCGGGGCTGCCCAGAGTAGTTCCCAGCATCGGCGACGCAATCTCCAGTCTTGGGCTCATGACTTCCTCCTCTCCAGGCCCTCCGCCGTCGCCAGTGAACTGCTCCATGATGCTTTGAATCTCTGAGCGCGAACCCTCTTGCTCATCTTCGCTCGCGTATCGACGCTCGTCGTAGCCCGCGTCGGACCTTGTTGGGGAGGATTCGGAGGATATCCGGCGCTGACCTGCGTTCGAAGGGGTTCGGGAAGGCGGTTGGGAAGTTCGCGGAGTGGGGGGTGTAGGGTCGACGTAGGGTGCCGAGGTCGCTTCTATCGTGAGGAACTGCGTGGAGGTCTCCGCTGGCAGAGGACTCGTAGGCTTCAGGGTAGCGATGGAGGAAGTCATGGTCTCCGCGGTTCCTCCAGGGGCTGGTGCGGAGGCGGTCTGAGCAGATCCTTCCGTCTTGTTCTCGGCATCGGTGACTACAGGAGCTGCTGGCGCGGGAGTTGAAGAATCGTCGCCAAAGTCGATCAGGTCGTCGGTGGCCTGCTGCTTGCCGGCTGCTTTCGCGGACATTGTAGCTTTGCCATCTTCGTTGTGGTTCTGGAGACTGGCAAGGTCTGTTTCAGCCTTGGACCCCGCGGGCTCGGCGATCGTCACCGGAACGGTCTTGTCATTTTGCGTGGCGCCAGACAGGCCGGAGGAGTTATCTGTGGGATCCGTAGGAGACATACACCACAGATATTCGGATCGAGTGAGAATTCGGATTTGGAGCTTGAGCTAGGGCGGGCGATCGAGGCTGAGGTTGCTGTTGAAGTCGGCGGCGGATTGTGGGGGGCGAGGCTCGAGCTCAGCAAAGGGCGGAGGCGGGACTGCTGCTGACATGCAGATGCGCAGTCTCCAGGGCCAGGGTATGCGCAGGGAAGATGTGTGAGTGATCTTCGATATGGATACGAGTGATGAGGGTGTCGGAGGGACGGTGCTGCAGACGGCGAAGGGGGTGGAGAGTGTTGGCAGCAGGTGAGTATGTTGGTTGTTGAGATATCGGATTGGAGTATCACGGGATGGGATCAGCAATGTAGCGGGTTGACCGTGTGACGGCGGAGAAGGCTGCAGCGGTCCTCAGCGATTCTAGACCCCACAATTCGTGGGGGATTGCTAGAACTGCAGTGCACCACCTGCTGAGTGTGTGCTGCAGCTGCGCCGGAAGCCAGAGTTTTGCCGAATTCCAGGGTCCCACAACCTGCAGGAGCCGCTGTGACCTCACGACGTCACCTGAGTGGACGGGAACGCCCGGACCACCGCACAGTCTTTTCGGGGAAATCATTCGCCGAGAGGTTGAGCTGGCATCACGTGATGAGATTGGATCCCCGCTTATGTAATTCAACGTCCGGATTCTCGTCTCCTCCGCTGCCCCGCATCGGCCGCACGTCGGATCCGGTGCGCCGGAGTCGGGGTGTCCAACAGTTCTTCCGTCCCGGCGCACGGCTCCCTCTTCCATCATTCCAGTGTCTCAGCTTGACAAGGGGGCTCGACTTCTCAAATACTGCCCTCGACCTCGGCTCATCAACTTGCATCACCGTCCTCGACTCATTCTTGCATCAAAGTCGATGCCCTCAAGGAGAAAATCTGCTCCCATCGCCAAGTGCGGCCAAGTCTGCCCCCAAACGCTTGACTAGCCCGTCGGATCAGCACAGGGGGACTGTACCGCCCCGATCCTCTCGCAAATCTTTCTTTTTCGGTTTGCTCAGACCGCGGCTCTGGGCCCGTCTTCCCGCTTTTATTTTCCCTCGACCGGAGCCGTTTTCTTTCATCGACGTCTTGTTGCTTTTGGTGTTGAGCCACCGTCCGGTCGGCGGACCTGCAATAAACGCCAGTCTCTCGTCAACTTACTTTTTTCCACACCCGCGGGAACCTGAACTCTGCGCTTCCGGCGCTCCGGCCCATGAGGCTGGGCCCGCGCTCGGTCCTCTGACAAGTGTCAGCGCGGCAAGAGCCTTTCGCCTACTTGTCCTGAAAGGGTGTGAAGCTGAACTTCCCTCAACCTCCGAAGTCCGCTCCTTCATGCCCACCACACCTCACGTCAAACCCAGGATGGTAATTCACTGTCTTGGTTGTCAGGATGAGGCGTGGCGATCGGATTGTCTTGCTCTCTGAGTGGCCCTCACGTCTGGTGCGATCCCTGTTCAGGAGTCTCCTCTGTGAGCGTTTTCCCGTTTCGATCTGGTCATCCCAAGTTTCAGGTTGGAACTTCTAGAACGTATCGTGTTCAACCCAACTATGACGACCCACCACGGGCGTTGTCAAATTCGCAAGCTGCACTTTTATCGACAAGCGCCGTTCGTCCATCAGGGAAGCCTCGTGGGTGATGCCAGCCCTCCATGTCGAGTCCGGATTGCCAAGCGGCAAAGTCACGGTTTCGGTGCCGTGGTTGACAGCTAGATGAGCTGAAGACAAGAGTCATTCGCTACGTGTTTTGTTTCTGGCACGACTGCCGTCCTCTATTGCCGAACCTCGGCTTGAAGCCCTTCAACTTGAAGAAGCAAACACCATCACCGGCCGGTGACTGTTCAATTGTGGCTGCTGGGAGAGTATGATAAGTGATATCAAATCTCAATCACATACTGCCTCATGGCCTAACTGAGATGGGCCTCTCGGCTGGGTACGAGGCCATCGGGTGCATGAGGCCAGAACGATAGACTTCGAGACGGTTGCCTTGGTCTTAGCCTTGCAGATCATGGGTCGTTCTGCAAACAATCACTTCGAAACGACGGCCCCGACCCCCAAATCGACAAGACTCGATGGGGCTACCTTATCGGATTTAGGCTACCGAAGAGAAATGACCCCAATATGCCTCGGTTTATTGACAAGATCCTCCTGTTGCTCTCGTGCCTGGCCCTGGATCTCTGATAAACGATGTGCATCAGGCTACATGCCGGCTGCGGCTGTAGACGTCAGGGGAAACCAGCCGGCTGGGTAAAGCGAGAACGGCTGAACGACATGAGTCTCTGCGCTGCTCCCCGATCCCGATGGCTTGGCCGCCGCATCCCAGGAACCTGCGACCGTGCTTCCCACCCGTAAGAGAACAGATGTTTCCCAAAACGGACAGACTTGCGATTCGGAACCTGCCACCAGTCCACCTTCAGCCTGCGCCTCAGGAGATCTCTGTCGAACCCCAGATGTGTCTTACATGCCAAGGGACGCCTCTTTGCGGGATGTCTCTTGTTGCCTGTGGCGCTTCGAGAGATGCGACTGGCCAGAATTCTGGACGGGGAACGGGGTCGATGCCTTTTGGGACGAAATTGGACGACGGTTGTGTGTGGAAACGTCTCCCCGAGGTTGACAATACTCACACCACACCATATCGTCATCTCAACACCAAAAGGCTCGGCGGCGTGGTTTGACGTGCAGAAGAACTTTCTATAAGATGGCTGCAAGACCCTTTTGACTCAAACTCATCTTATCAGCACCTGCATTAGTCCAACTCTACCACAAACCCGTCAACGGTCAGCTCGTTCCAATTCATCCACGCCCAGGAGGCAGTCATTCACTCTTTGCGACGCTGTATCTCAAGTCTGCTCTGCGAGCGTTTTCTTTTCTGCCCACAAAGCTCCTCTCGTCAAATCCAAAACCTTCCTTTTTACTTCCTCCATCATGAAGCTCAGCAACGTTCTCGCTTTCGCGACCGCCGCGGCTGCCTTCCCCGGCCTCCAACAGCCTTCGTACAATGAAGAGCTCGAGGCCCGCGACCTCGAGGCCCGCCAGCGCGGCCGCGTCGGCAGCACCGCCAAGGAGTTTACGCAGGGCGGCTGCAAGGACGTCATCATGATCTTCGCCCGCGGCTCGACCGAGGTCGGCAACATGGGCACCATCTGCGGCCCGCCGACGGCCAACGCGGTCAAGTCGCAGTTCTCGAGCATGGCGGTCGAGGGCGTCGACTACGCCGCGGGGCTGTCGACCAACTTCCTGCCCGGAGGCGGCGACCCCAAGGGCATCTCGGAGATGAAGCGGCTCATCAACAAGGCGGCGACGGACTGCCCGAACTCGATGCTGGTCGTCGGCGGCTACAGCCAGGGCGCGGCGGTGACGCACCGCGCGGTCGAGAACCTGCCGCAGGCGCAGAAGGACCAGATCGTGGCGGCCTTCATGTTCGGCGACACGCAGAAGCAGCAGGAGGGCGGCGTCATTGCCAACTTCGACCCGGCCAAGACCAAGATCATCTGCAACCCAGGCGACGCCGTCTGCGTTGGCACGCTCAACATCCTGCCTCCCCATCTGGCCTACGGCGCCCGCGCCAACGAGATGGCAGACTTCATCACGCAGAAGCTCACCGCGGCTGGCGCCCAGAGGCGCAAGTAAGGGAATCAATCGCATTTGCATATCCATCCTCGAGATGGAGCAGCGGGGGTTTGATACCCCGGTAAAGCATTTTCAATGTTTTTTTGGGACGGCGGCATAACTGTTTTCTTCATATATTTCCATTCTTCTCTTCTCTCTTCACTTCTCTGTACATGGCTGGCATTAAGAGATATCCGTTTCTTCTGTTGCATATTTTGGAAACCAAGACTTTTGTGTGTGACATCAGCATATGGGCCTCCTTAGTAGGGGGAAACGTGAACTCTTCTGGCGACGGGGCAGCCAGAGAGTTGTGAGCTGACTGGGATGTTTGGGGGAAGGAGTTGGCGGCAACCAAGACAGGCCTCAGACACTCGTTGATCGATGTGCAAATGAATAGAATATTCTCCGAACCTTGTGCTCCATCCGACAGTGTTCTGTAACGGTGACTGATCGAAGGCCTGACATGTCACTGAGTCGAGGAGGGGGTATGCCGGCGGCCACAGGGCGGAAGAGGCCGAGGTACCTGCACCCAGTGTTGAAGTGAGGTTCTCGATAGTTGCACTGTGCACCCATAGTTGAACACCACTGTTAAGTGTGACAGCACAGTCCCCGCACTGTACCTGGGTCATTTTCTACTTCCAGTCAACAAACACCGTTCCTCCCTTCCTTCAGCTTACACCTCACCAAAGAGATCATCGTCATCGGCGTCCTCTCAACATCCGCTTCCATCACTCCGGCTGAACGCAAACAACAGACGATGGTATCATCCCACCGGACACCGGACCAACTCAACTGGGCTGGAGGCACATGCCGAAGGGCTGAATCCCGAGGGTGTCAATTCGCCAGCGCGCAGTGTCGACTGGCCATGATTCCATGAAAATACCTGCGTGCGCCGTGACGACTCCACCAGCGTGCGACGCAGCTTCAAAGGGTCTTGCCTGCACCGCCTTTCGCCTGAACAATTCCTCTCGTATGACGCCCGAAAAAACCCGCGGCCAAATCCCCAGGATGCGCCGTCGAGAACACCGGATGACATCCGTGCTGCCTTGCCCTACCTCGCACCTCGGGATTCCTGGGTTTCCCGCAGTGTGAACCTTAAGATGCAGTCGCTAAGAGATGCCTCGGGGATTCGAGCAAGGCATGGACGTTGAGGTCCGGACCGTCACGACGCGGAGGCGCCTGGCCCAAAAGACCTGGGTCGAATTCCTGCCCGTCGTTGATCCATCTGCCGTTGCGGAGGCGCAAACGAGACACCGGGACGGTCGATCCCCAGCCCTTCGCGGCTAGAGACGTTTTTGGCAGTGTGTCCGAGGCAGAGGCCAGCGAAACGGATCGCCATCCCTGATATGTTCCGTCGTGCCGGGTGCCTTCTCGGCGGCAACTCTGTTCGTGGAGGGCAGAAAATCGCTAAGCTTTCGACTTTGTCCAAGTTCATGTGTACCACACGTGGGACAAGATGCGGCTGGCAGCTTTGGCAGACGATAGCGTCGAGTCTGTCGAAAACCTTGGGAACTCTCAATCGACCTCACCAACTTTCCCTCCGCTGATGTCCCCGCCGCCGCCGCCGCCCAGCTTGGCAAACAGGGGTTCATGACCATCATCCGCTGCTTATTTGCTTGCTCGCTCATTGTGGCTTTGTCTTCTTCGCCTCTGACATGATTGACAGACGCAGCACAGAAATGTCCTGCAATCGCCTCCAGCAGCCGCCCAACGGCCCCCCGGCCAGCGTTCCCACCACGTGGGGAGATCAGCGCGGGATAACGGTCCCAACGGGGAACGCTGCCCGCTGACGCATGCGCGGACGACTTTCTGAAAGCTGCTGGATCGATATCTTTAGCATCCTGCAGTGTCTAATTTCGCGAGGGTGTCTTTGGCCTTGGCAGCCCACTCCGGGTGAGATGCACCTCGTTAATGACGAACTCGATGCCCGCTGTTTTTCCCTGCTCACTGGGTCCGCGTCTCCCCACGATTTCCCACGGCTTGCCGCCATCCTTTCGCTTCTTGCTTCCGTCAAAGCATCAGCTGTTCGCGGGGAGGCGACAGGATGGCTATTCTTCGCATTGTCCAACTCAGTCCTCTGCACGTCCGACGACGTTAAAGCATCGTCATCAGGAGACCAACCTTCGAGAGACGAACAATCAAAGCGCGCGCGCCCGACCGAGTCTGATGCAGCCCTACGAACCGCAGCACCTGAACGAACCCATGCGGTCGACCCGGCTGGCGTCTTTTAATGTTTGAGGCACGATCGAATCTGCAAGAAAGGCATCTTGCATCTGTCACTCGTTTTTTGATGAATTGAGACCGCGACCATGAGCGAGAAACCGACCACGGAGGCGCTACCGCCGGGCGAGCCGCCGCACGGCGCCGGCAATAACTCAGCGGAGAAATCACAGCAGACCATCACATCCTCCCGGCGCGACGCCCTCACCTGGTGCAAGAGCATCTTTTTCGAAGTCGTCCTCGGGCGCAAGACATTACCGCCATCAAAGGATGGGCGGCATATCCCACTACGACTGGACCAAGATGCGTCGCTTACGGACGAACGACGAGGCGGTCATCCCTACGTATCCAATGCCATCCGAACGTCCCGATACACCGTTTACGACTTCATTCCCAAGCAATTGTTCTTCCAGTTCTCCCGCATCGGCAACTTTTACTTCCTCTGCGTTGGTGTACCGCAGACCGTACCAGGGCTATCCACGACCGGAAACTTCACGACTATCCTCCCGCTGTTATTCTTCGTCCTGGTTACTGTGGCGAAGGAAGGATATGACGATTTCAAACGACATCGGCTTGACAAGGTCGAAAATGCGTGCACCGCCAAAGTGCTCAAACACTCGAACCAGCACCACCACGCCAGCGCTGCCAGCTGGTTTTCACGACTCAAGGGCAAGTTGCGGAAGAAAGACGGCGATGAGACATTCGAAGAACAAGATGAACCTTGGGTTCGGGCGAAATGGGCCGATATCGAGGTTGGAGACGTAATCAAGCTGGCGCGCGACGACCCCGTCCCGGCGGATATCGTGCTGCTCCATGCAGATGGAGAGAATGGTCTGGCTTACATCGAGACAATGGCCCTTGACGGCGAAACGAACCTGAAGAGCAAACAAGTTTCAACTGCGATTACTGGCTGCGATACTGTCGAGGGAATCACCGCTTGCGACGCAGAGTTCGTTGTCGAAGACCCCAACCCGGACCTTTACAAGTTCGATGGAAAGGTTTCCGTCAACGGGAAGTCGCTGCCACTCACGTCGGCCGAAGTCATCTACCGTGGCAGCATTCTGCGCAATACTAGTTGCGCGATCGGCATCGTGATCAACACTGGAGAGGAATGTAAGATCCGCATGAACGCGAACCAGCATCCCAAGGCGAAGAAGCCGGCCCTCGAGACCGTGGCCAATAAGATCGTTGTCACCTTGGCCATATACGTTGTCGTCCTTTCGATCGGGTGTTCTATGGGTTACATCATGTGGCAGAGGTCCCAAGAGCGGAGGACGTGGTATCTTCAAGATGCGGAGGTTAAGCTTCACGAGATTATCATCGGCTACATCATCCAGTTCAATAACGTCATTCCGCTGGCCTTGTACGTCAGTCTTGAGATTGTCAAAGTCGGCCAGCTACTCATGCTCAACTCCGACATTGACATGTATCACGCCGAAACGGACACGCCGGCACGATGCAACACAAACACCATCCTTGAGAACCTGGGCCAAGTTGGCTATATTTTCACCGACAAGACTGGCACGCTCACTGAAAATGTGATGAAGTTCCGAAAGTTGAGCATCGCGGGCACAGCTTGGCTGCATCAGCCTGACGTCGACTTGGAGTGCGAGAATAGCTCTGTCGATACGCTCTCCGAAGTCAAGAATGGGCCTCGTATTTCGACGCAGTACATCAGACCCGAGGCAATCTCGGACGACTACCTCCAGTCCCCAACGTCCTTTGGCAGGCCTTCGATGGCCCAGTCCCGAGCACCGTCTACCAGGAGATCTTCCTCACAGTGGAGATCCACAGGCCGCCCAGACCATGTTCAGCCAGACGTAACGACGAAGGACCTCTTGGAATTCATTGCCTTGAGGCCGCACTCATTATTTGCCAGAAGAGCGAAAGATTACATCCTCGCCATGGCATTGTGCCACACTTGCCTTCCAGAGATAAGAGATGGCGAAGTAGAGTATCAGTCTTCATCCCCCGACGAGTTGGCCATCGTCCGGGCTGCTCAAGAGCTTGGGTACACCGTGGTCTCTCGATCCTCCACCAGCGTCACCCTCCGGCTCGCGTCAGAAGCCGACAAGGACCTCACCTTCGACATCTTGGACGTCATCGAGTTCAGCAGCCATCGCAAGCGCATGTCTGTTGTCGTACGATACCCCGATGGAAGAATCTGCATTATTTGCAAAGGCGCCGATTCCGTCATCCTGCCGAGGTTAAAGATGGCTAACATAGCGATGCAAAAGGCTCAGGATGTGAGAAAGAGCGCAGATCTCGAGCGCGAGCTCCTCCGGAAGAGCGAGCAACACGAGCCAAGGACAAGCATCGGTGGGCGGGCTAGTATGACACTACGTCGAAGCCTTGGTCTGCAGCGTCCTGGGCCTGGTCCAAGTTCAAGACCGACAATGGATCGGAGTGTATCATTCGAGGCCAGCAAGCTTCGCAAATCCGGCGATCTCTTGCGACCTTCGATCAACGTCCGAACAGCGTCTTTTGAAGCATCCCCTACAGCGCCGACCTTTTCCCACCAGATCCCTGAGAAGTTCGCGTTTCTCGACGACCCGTCCATTGCGGACGACTCCAGCATTTTCACGAGGTGCTTCAAGCACTTGGACGACTTCGCCACCGAGGGACTTCGCACCCTGCTATTCGCTCAAAAGTTCATCTCAGACCAGGACTACCGGGCTTGGAAGCAATCCTTCGACGCCGCTGCCACTAGTCTGACTGATCGGCAAGAAAAGATCGAGGCAGCGGCAGAGACGATTGAGCAGTCCTTCAACCTCGTGGGCGCGTCCGCTATCGAAGACAAGCTTCAGGAGGGTGTCCCGGAGACAATTGACAAGCTTCGGCGCGCCAACATCAAGATCTGGATGTTGACGGGCGACAAGCGGGAGACAGCCATCAATATTGCGCATTCCACCCGCATATGTCAGCCAGTTTCCGACCTGTACACACTTGACGTCACAAAGGGAGATCTCTCGGGTCAAATGGTTGCGCTGTCAGAAGATCTGTACTCGGGCTCGGTCCACAGCGTCGTGGTCATTGACGGACAGACACTTGCCGCCGTGGAAAAGTCGCCTGAGTTGACGGCGCAGTTCTACTCGGTCGTCCCGCTCGTTGACTCCGTCATCTGCTGCCGAGCATCCCCAGCACAGAAGGCCCTCATGGTCAAGACTGTGCGATCGCAGCTTCGGAAGAAGAAGGGTGGCCGCATGGGCTATGGCCTGACGCTTGCTATCGGGGACGGCGCGAACGACTTGGCCATGATTTCTGCCAGTCACGTCGGTGTCGGCATCTCAGGCAAGGAAGGTTTGCAGGCGGCGCGTGTAGCTGACTATGCTATCGCCCAGTTCCGCTTCCTACAGCGACTGCTCTTGGTTCATGGCCGTTGGAACTACGTCCGCACTGCCAAGTTCATTCTTTGCACCTTCTGGAAGGAGATGTTTTTCTATCTGCCGACTGCCTTGTACCAGCGCTACAATGGGTACACTGGTACCTCGTTGTATGAGATGGCCAGCTTGACTGTCTTCAATACCCTGTTTACCAGTCTTTGCGTTATTTGTATGGGCATCTGGGAGCAAGACCTTAGTGCCGACACGCTTCTCGCCGTCCCGGAACTGTACGTGTACGGCCAGCGAAACATGGGCCTAAACCTGGCTAAGTATACCGGATGGATGTTTTCAGCAGCCTGCCAGGGTGTCCTGGCCTACTGGGGTGTATGGGCGGGGTATGTGTGGTTTGCACACTCGAGCGATCAAGGCCTTTTCGCTGTGGGTGACTTGGCATTCACTTTGGGAGTCGTCTGGATCAACTACAAGTGCTTGTGAGTATTCCTAATTCCTACTCGACGACCTACAGCTAATATTTCTGCAGCATCCTCGAAACACACCACAAGACCGCCATCGTGATGGGATCCTTCTTCATCACCTTCTCCGGATGGTGGGCATGGAACGCCTTCCTATCAGGCATCTACACCCCATCACCGTCACCATATGCCGTCCGCGATGGCTTCTCCAAGATCTTCGGCGCCGACGCCGTATGGTGGTTGACCCTAATCATAATGACCCTGCTCTTCATCCTAATGGAGACCATATTCCGCACCTTGCAGCGGTGTCTCATCCTTGCCGGTCTATGGAGATGGCCATGGGTCCGCAAGGAAGACGATGTTTGCGCTGATGAGTGGCGCTTGGAGCTGTGGCAGGAAATGGAGAGGGATCCTGCTGTCAAGGAGAGATTGAGAAAGCTGGCTCGGGATGAGCCTGAAGATGACGAAGAGGAGGCCGACGTCGCTGTTTTGGAGGGGGCGGTTTAAGTCATTCCTTTGCGCAAGATACCCATGGTTTCGTAGAAAACACGTGTTTTGTTTTGTGTTCAGAGTCTTCGTCCCATCCTATGTGCTTATCATGCGGCCTCTGCTGAACATTCTTCCAGTTCTGCCACTTCCAAATTCTCCCCTTCGGTTCAGCTCCGGTAGGCTTCCGCTTTGCCAGCCCGGTTCAGGGAATGCCAGCAGTCTGTCCCCTCGTTGAATCTTCCATCCAATCTCAAAGTCATGAACCGACTGAGCCTCATTGAGGTAACTGACTGATTAGACGGCCGATCATGAGCACCAACTGGGATGCAGCCCGCCTAATAGAGACGTAGTTATCAACACTTCCTTAGTTTACGAGAGATTCCCCAGAGATTTAAATAGTTGCGTGAGATAAAACGCTCAAGCATCTAATCATAAATGATAAATCCCCCCATCCTCCAAAAACCAACCAAAAACAAATAAACCTCAAACACCAGGACAGGACAGCCCACCATCTTCACAAACACTCCAAACGTCAAAACTGCCATACTTCCCGTCAAAGCACCCCGTCTTGCCGTCAATCTCAGTCGCCTCGTCCAGCACGGCGATGATCGTGTCCGGATCGCAGTCCTCGCTGCTGAAGAAGACGGCCACGAGCGCCGCGTCGCCGTCGCCGGCCTTGACGATCATGGACTGGTCCTTGTGGTTGCCGTCGACCGTGCACCCCGTGCCGAGGTGGAAGTAGTGCCCGTCGACGAGGAAGTCGCCCGGCGCGCCGCGGCTGCATTTGGACGGGTCGCTGGGCGGGTTGCCCCAGCTTTGGTAGAAGGTGAAGGCGGCGGCGGAGTTGGCGAGGCCGAGGATGGCGAGGTGGAGGAAGGGGGCGGAGAACATTGTAGGGCGGTTGGGGTTGTGACAAGTGAAAGACGGGTTTGGGAGGGTTTGTCAAGTTGGTTAAGTGTACTGGAAGACGCGAATGGCGGAGGAAGGGATATAATGATTCAATTAGGCTGCGGAGAAATTGACTTGTCTGCAGCGAGTAGAGATGGGAATGGAGGTTCTCCAGTGATGATATATATTGTCAGTCAGTAGAACTTTCATCACAGATCCAGAGGCAGCTACCGGGCATGCGCATATGAGGCCTCACTGGCCGTCCGCCACAGCCTCAAGTCCGAGTATTACGACCGTTGCCCACCTGGATTATAGTACTGCAGTATTTTAAGATCAGTTCTTGAAAACAGCTGCCGTCTTGGGAGAAACTAAATATGGGACGTTGATTTCAGGACGATCATGTCATGTTGCAGCAGGAATGAGTTGCAGCCTTGATGGCCCTCCGATTGAGAACCTGTGCTTCCATGTGTCACGTTCCGTTGCAATCTCAGTTTGAACTGAGCCTCAGCTGAGCTCATCGACCCTTCCATCTCATCTCGCACCATGCTTGCTCCTTCTTTGATATCGGACTGGGCTTACTGGTTGGAATAGCTAAGTCCAAACTCAGCCACGCTAGATGGCAGCGCATCTCACAGGATCTCGGACTGACAATGGCTCACGCTTAAGTCATATATCCATAATCAGAATGTTCTTTTGACATATCGTGTGGCTGTTTGGGTCATAAAGTTGACGAACTCACACGACATGGACGTCGCCGATGACAATCTCTATGGCTACGTACATATAATGCGTCTAACTGTTTCCCCTTCTGTTTTAACCGCGGCCACATCCTTCTAAGATAGATTCTGTCTCTAGACTCGAAAATAACTCAGCACCTCAACTCAGTACTCATCATGAAGCTGCACTTCCTCCTCTCTCTACTTACTTTAGCCCCGCGGCTGTCTTTACAATTACTGTCGGCTGATGGATCTGTTCCAGAGAACCAGGCCGTCTCCTCGGCTGTATTCCCCGACAAGCCTCTTGATATCTTAGCGCGCCAGCAGCAACAGGCGGCGCCAGGCAAGAAGAAAGACTCGTGCAAGGCCTGCCCGAGGCGAAAATGCAGCAGTACCGCATACTTCCGCAACGCCGCCACTTGCAGATGTGAGAAGTGCCCAAACGGTCAGAAGGCCAAACAGAGGGGTGACGGGTGCGAGAAAGCACAAGACGATAAGAAAAAGAACAAAAGTGACAAGTTGGTTTACCAGAGCCCTCGTATCACAAGCCCCATCCTGACTTGAGACGACAGAATCAAGGACACAATCGAACGCAAGAAGAAGGAATATCAACAGAAGAAGAGACAGAAAACCAAAAAGGAGATGGTCGACAAGGTCAAGGACAAGAAAAGGACCGAGTACAAGCGCAACAAAAAGCGGACCCGCATGGGCAAGTGCCTGCTACTCGTCCCGCTGTCAATCTTTGGCGAGTTCGACGGCATCGTTCCCCTCTCTTCGTACGCGGAGGACTTCTTCTCTGAAGACTTCGTGACGGGGGACGCGATTGATGAGTTCTGGCCGGGCGACTTTGGGGACGCCCCTGACGTGGATATCGACTCGGACGAATACACAACGTCTTATGTAGAGATCGCGGCCGCGATTGAGGACGATAAAGACACTAGATGGAAGGATCCGATTGTGCCCATCGGCTTGAAGCGTGAGGAGCCACCGAGAAGCCCCGCACCTCACGATATGATGGAAGATTCCAGACGTACGGAGCCCTCAGATGAGAATGCTGCAGATATCCGAGCCACCTATCACCAGCTAAAGAAGCGTAACCCCGTCGCGGTACGTAACAATCTTGATGAGGAAAGCCCACCAAACTATGAGGCAGCTGCTGACTCTCAATATCTAGGCCGTTCTGAGGGCCATTTTGGCCTTCGTCGGGCGTTTTGCATCTGCTACCAGGACCGTGGTCGGGAGGTTCGCGACCATCGGTCAGCGAACGAGTGCTCGTCTCAAGGATTTGGCCGCAAGAGGCGGTGCTCGTCTTGCTAAAAGTGGCGGCAAGAAGACGCTCGACGAGATGAAGAACGCGGCTCGCACGATCTCCAAGAACAAGAACTGGAAGAATTGCCTGAATGGAGTCAAACCGTCGAGAACTGCGGCATGATTAATTTGTCTGTCGCTGAGGGTTTGTCACTGGTATTGCGAAGGCAAAAGGTAGGTATGCTCGTGTTTTCGTGGAGGTATTCGAGTCGGAAGAATATTCTTGGCGAGGTTTTGTTAGCTTTCTTTGGTGAACTTTGAATCTAGTCGTTCCTTTTGCAACCCTAAGCTACCTTCTTTTGTTCCTATCGTTGGATTTACATGCACTTCTCAACAGGCGCCGCTGATGGATTTTGAAGAATTTGACGTGGTAGAATATTAGTGCCCTAATCGTGGGCGTTTTGTCCTTTTTCCTGCACCCCGAATAAGTGATCAAGTCACAACCCTTCTTGGTATCCTTCGAGATAATTTTAATAATCCGAACACATCTCAGTACGTGCTACATGACGAATTTCCAATGCGATACATCGTGAATCACTTCAAAGTATTTTCCATTCGAATCAGCAAGCGGAGTCAACATGAAGTTTGTAGGGTCCGTACAACTGACGTCTGTATTCACTGTATTGCGTGTTGGAACCTCGGTAATACGAGCTGGTGACTTGCTTTGACCTTTCGACTACATGTTGCCTCTTCTTGCTCATATGAAACGACATAACTGGATATAGAGGTTGCTCAAAATGATTTCTCGGGTCAGTGCAGGTGCCAACCAACCATTGGACTTAATTGAAATAACGCGTGGGATTCGGACTTAAAATGAAGGTTGTCTAAAGATAGAATCTCAGCACTTTCGAAATACATATCATATCTCAGCTTCGGACTCAAGAGAAGGTGCCAAACCGAGCAGTTCTATTTTGAGATGCTTACCGGAAACCAAACGGAGGGGTTGTTTCTTCTCACGAGAAGGCCGAAAATGCGAAGAAAGCATAACGTCAGCTCATGTTGATTACTTGTGTACAGCCACCAAAAAGTCCGAGTAGATAAGCCGAGACTAAAATCCTCAGTGTCCTGCCCAAGACCCCGATTCCGTGCTGACAACAGTGAAATCCATTTGAAAATTCCGAGGCTCAGCCACACGCAGAGCATGTGCGCAATCCACAGGTTGACTATTATCATCGGGATTGGTGACGACAACAAACGGGGTAAAGCGTCTCTTTTCAAATCTATAAGAGCACCCGAAGATTAAATAGGTAGATGTCCACTTGGAAGTCGTTTATTATCCATAGCGAAGTTATTACACAGTATTCAGGTGTTTAACACTCCTAATCTCATATCTTTAACAAAATGCACTATCCTACCTTGCAACTACTCGGTCTCGTTGGTATCCAGGCTGTACTAAGCCACCCCTTGTCTGCATCTAAGGTAAAGTTCATTTACTATTGTTCGGCAGCTTTTGCTCTAGGCTTACGGTCACTTCTCCGGTCCCAAAGTACGCTACAATCGAGAAACGGAAACCTGATGGTTTTTGGCGAGAAGATGGGTACGACTTCCTCGGCGAGCTAAATTTAGATGAACTCACAATTGGTGAAAACGTGGGGGGCGGCAAAGACGGGAACGCATTCAAGGCGACAGTGACTGGAGAGACCGCCCAGGGGTGGGATCGGAGCGTCACGTGGATATTGAAGAAGGATTATTCCAATAAGCAACACATCTTGAAAGAGAAGGAAGCCTACGAGGCTATCGACGGCAAGGATGTAGGACCAAAGTTTGGAGCGCTTGTCTATGATCAGTGCACTGGTGATGAAGAAGGGATTCTGATCGAGTTCATCGAGTCCCGATTCGCAGACCCTAACAACAAAGATGATGCGAAGAAAGCATTGGAGACTGTTAAAAGGATGCACGATGCGGGCTGGATCCACGGCGATCTAACCTCTGTCCGCAACATTGTGGTCAGGACATCGGACGACAAAGCCATTCTTCTCGATTTCGCTCTAGCGAGGAAGATTAAGAGCGCCCAAGACAGCCGAGAGGACTTCCAGGATCTCGCATTGGCTTTTGCGGGAGTGAGGTTCGACGATGACGGGACGACATGGAAAGTCAGGGAGTAGGTGGCGATCTATCTGCCAGCTGTTATGCGACGGCGAGACTGAGACAATGTTGGTGAAGGAAAGAGTGGAAAGGAGCAGTTTCCTAGGACTTTTGGATTCTCTTAGTGTTTTTATTGATGTTGCTAGATTTACAATCATTGAATATCAAGAAGCCTAGATAAATGTACCGCGACAGCTATTTCACAGCCTAAACTCTGTCTTGCGACGCTGAGCTACCTACTCCCGACTCTCGCAAATCCGAAAATTTCCTTCCACCGAACCAGGCCTTCTCATATCGCACGCTAGATATCTATTTACGTCCCAACTTCATCAAGAGAGGAAAAAATATCGCGCCGTCAATCTCCAATCTTGCCATAAGATTGGGGGGGGGGGCAGCAATTTAGTCAATAGAGGAGATCCTGGAGGCTTTGAAGGAGAACAAGGGCGGTTCTCATGGTCTCAGGGGGCTAAAAGCTGCGAAAAGGGTCGGTGTGAACTAAGCTTGGCGGATGATTTGGCGGACGGGAACTTTAGCACAGATCAGGACGACCAAGATGCCTCGGAATAACAAGTCCTCAAGATGAGCTTGACCCAAAGGAATGTGCTTCCTGAACAATACATGGAACATCAATAATGACACGGCAAAATGTCCAATCGGCAATAAGATAAAAGCCGCTTCGTTAACTTCGAGTGCTTTCATGTTGGCAGTCTGGTCAACCCGTATAAGTAGGTATTATAGTTCACTCTATACTTTTTTTCACAGTACTAAAACCTAATAGTAGTATTTTAACTTATACTTAATCTTAATAAAGTAAATAAATAAATCTTAATATAACTAGTTATTAATACTTAGTTTAACTTATCCCTAGTAAAAGAGGGTAGGCGGGTAGGTAGTGGAGCGGCAAAACGTACTGGTGAGAGCGTCGTTTGCGACGTTGCGAAGGCGTCATCCGTAACGCGGAACGCTAATAGTACTCGTAGTAGCTGGAGCCTGGCGATGGCTTAAACCTATACTCGAGGGCGCAAACTTAATGGTGTAACTCTTCGCTACTGTGGCCAAAAGGGTTCTCGTGGCCATGGCATAAGAACTTGACCGCTACTTCGAATGAGGCCTCGAGCCTGTTCCTCACATCCTCCTATACGCGCGACGACCTTATATGATATCTTTCCCCCTTATTATAACTGCGCGCAGGCTGAGCAAGGCCGCGCTAGACGACTTGGTCCGCGAGACCAACGTCAACGAAGTCAAGGGCTCTAAATACAGCGACCTTCTCTTCACCGAAAAGAAAACTCTCCTCGAATTCGCCCGTTCGAGTGCTTTCATGTATGAGAGCTTCAGGAACATTATTTTCGTCGCAGACACCAGGCTGCGAGGGCTCGGAGGCTGTGGCTCTGCGATGACAAGGATAAAGACCTGCCAAGCAACGGATGGAGAATTCACAATTTGACGCAACGGGGCTCGACCTTGGCAAAGTAACTGTCAGAGTTGCATCCCTCCTGCAATTGCAGCCAGCCCGCAACCTTACCTCCATCCCAAGTAGAATGAGCTGCGTAATCCTTTGCAACCTCAACCTCTGCCCATCTTTGCTTCACAGGCAACAACTCACCATTGTTCAATCGCATGAATGGACCAACAAGCTAACCGGCCGGGCGTCCCGTTCCCTCTTCCCCGCATCCGCCATCCCCGCATCCCCAGCCGGTCCGTCTCCAACTTCCCAACCTCATCGGGTCACACGGCCAGAAGCGGGCCCAATAGTGGACGTCAAAGCAGGAAATACGCGCCTAAGGGACCTGGGGTACAGGAACGATGCTCTATTCGGACTCAATGCCGAGGCTCTTCCATCTTCCTCCGCCCATCCCACACAGCACAGCTCCTGTAATACTATGTAGCTCCAGCCATTTCTAGTCATATCTACGAGCAAAACCACGAGGCGCTAACCCCACGCGGAAGCCACCTCGGACCTGGACCTGGATCCCTGGCCGACTTGAACAACAGTCCGAACATGTGGTCGACGATCCATGGCGTCCGGCGGACGACAAACCTCCGTCTGATTCGCCGTTCGGCCACGACGGGGTACCCCTGGCGATCACAACACAGCGGCGCAGCCACCCCGGCTTTCCGATATTTGCGCCGGGCTCAATTTCGAGGAGCTGATGGCGCGGCAGTGCGGCACTTACGATGGGATGGCGTTGCCTCGCCGGCCCTTTTCGCGGGCATGTAATGCTGCTTAGCAATGCGCGTACGGATACACCATGCCAGCCTCTGCGCCAAGAATCGTTGAAGTCTGCGACGTCATTCAACCCGGTGGGCTGCCGAGATAAATACCTCTCCGACCTCCCCGGTTCCCCTCTGTGCCCTCCTCTACCTGCTAGCTTGGTCTACCGTCCGATCCGACCCAATCGATCCTGTCTCACCATTGCCCATCATCCATGACCGAACCTGACCGAAAATGAGATCCACGACGAGGACCACCGCCGCGATCGCCGGCCTCTTTGCGGCCAGCGCCGCCGCGCAGAACTCAACCAGCACCTGCGCCAGCGGAGTGCATCTCATCGTCGCACGTGGCAGCAATGAGCCAGCTGGTGTTGGCCGGATCGGCAGCGTCGCCAATGGTGTCGTCGCCGCCATCCCCGGGTCCCAGATCGAGCCGCTTGACTACCCCGCGACCTTCGACAACTACTCCATCTCGGTGGAAGATGGAGACATTGCCATGAACCTGGCCTTGACGGCATACAACTCGAGGTGTCCCGACTCAAAGGTCGCCCTGCTCGGATATTCCCAGGTACGTGAGACGGCTGTCAATCTTGCATTTTCCTGAGCATGAGAAAGGAGTTCATGACATAACTTGGGACGAGACGCCGTTCTTGGGGGCGCTGTCGGAGGGCCCACGGACAATGATTGGACACCAACATGCGATGAAGCTGCGCCTTTTGCTTTCTTCTTCCCGCTGACGTGCATGAACTCAGGGTGCGCAAGTGACGGGTGATACCCTGTGCGGCAGTGTCGACGAAGACGCCGGCGAGGCGCTGGATTTAGAGTTCAACCACACAGCGCCAATTGCATCTTCCATCGTCGATCAGAGCGGTATGTAAACACCTACGAAGAGCTTATTCGGCGTGAACCTACCGAATATGGAACGCTGATTCTCTCGTAGTAATTGCGGTCGTCCTCTTCGGAGACCCAACCCATACCGCCAACTCGACCTGGAACCGAGGCACAAGCACTCGCGACGGCGTACGTTGAGTCAAGATGTGCACCTACTGATGGGAGACACTGACTCGATGGTTGTTCTAGATTTTTCCTCGTGATAACACTACTGCATGCCAGCAGTACGCCTCCAAGATCGCGTCGTGGTGCGACACAGGCGATGTCTATTGCGATATTGGCAACAACACCAAGGTCCACGGCTCGTACTTTGGCAACTACACCGATGACGCCGTGGAGTTTGTCGTCGCCCAGTTTAATGCCTCCAAGACGAACAGCACGTCTCCCTCGGCCACCCCGACGCCATCTACCGTTCCGGCATCAGGGGCTGGTGCCACTGCTCCGGGTATGCTCATGTCAATGGCTGGACTGACGATGCTCGCGGCTTTCCTGATGTAAATGAGTTCCACATAGATGACGGAATGGCACCGCACGACGAATACCCCATAATGGATGTTACGATACAATATGATACTTAGCATAGTAATGAGATGTACGAGGCGTCCAGTATCCTTGATTTCTCGTTGATGGCTGGTGGTTATCACCACCGTCGGGACTTGCCGTGTTATTAGAAGGTCTGCAAAGTCTAATCGCAGCGTGTGGGATGCCGTGATAAGCGCTGATTCAACGACATCAGTGCTCGCCGGTCCGAGTCTACGGACCGAACGATCCACCTGCTGTCGATAATCAAACGGCAAGCCCATTGTAGATCACTTACATGGCCTTTCGGTAGTTCCTTGTCCATCACAGAATTCTGTCATATTGCTGCATTCCTTGGGGCTAAGCATTTGGTCTCATTTTAGAATTCACCACTTCAAGGAATGACTCAAATACAAAGGTAGGGATAAAAGCAACTAGTTCAATCATAAGAGGTATTAAGTCTCATTGAAGGCAGGCTGACAGGGTATCAAACTTCGTCCAGCGTCATCGCTACCGTCTAATATTTAGATTACATATAAGAAAGATAATTCCTAGTTCCTTGCGTCTTCCAAGGCATATATCCACGTTTCTTTCCTCCCCGGCTTCCTATCATCAGGAGTCGCACTGTATTTTCTCCCACTACCCTCCTCATTAAATTCTACGCCGCATGAACCTCATCATTGGCTTTGCAGGCTCAGCGGGCTTCTCTTCGGCGGGCTTATCCGCGGCAGGCTTCTTCTCTTCGGCGGGCTTCTCGGCCTCCTCAGGCTTTTCGGCGGGCTTCTCCTCAGGCTTCTCAGCGGGCTTCTTCTCGGGCTTCTCAGCTGCGGGAGCCTCATGTGCGGGAGGAGTCGCCGGCGCTTGGTGAGCGGGAGGGGCAGCCGGTGTCTCGGCCGGAGGATGGGCGGGCATGGCCTCGGCCGGGGGAGCGACGTGAGCCGGGGGCATCTGATGAGCTGGCGGCGCAGATGGCGCGGGTTGTGCCGCTGCGGGAGTAGTGTGCTGGGCCGGAGGGGCCATGGTATGCACCGCCGGTGGCGGGGTATGTTGCACCGGGGGAGGCGCCATAGTATGGACCGGTGGCGCGGCCTCGTGAGCGGGCGGAGGCATGGGGTGTGCTGCCGGAGGAGGAGAGGCAGCGTGGCCGGCTCCGGCTGTCACGGTCGTAGCGCAGTGGCTGACTACTTGCGTGACATGGACAACCTGGTGGACGGTATGCGGCGGGAGCGTCACGGTCTCCTTGACCTCGTGAGGAGGCAGGGTGACGTGCACTGTTTCCTTGACGACGTGGGGAGGAAGAGTGACGTGAACGGTTTCGTTGACCACATGGGGAGGAAGGGTGACGTGTACCGTCTCTGTCTCCTTTACCACGTGAGGAGGGAGAGTGACGGTTTGCACTGCGTGCTGGGTCTGGACGACTGTGGCGACGTGGGTGATGATCTTCTCGATCGGGAGCTCCTTGGTCACGACCTGGGTGACGTGAACCGGCAGCTCCTTGGTGACTTCGTGGGTCACGGGAGGAGCGGGAGGAGCAGAGACAACTCGCTCAGAGGTAACAACTTGGGGAGGCAGAGTGACGTGGACCGTCTCGGTGACCGCGTGGGTGATTGTGTGGACGAGAGGAGGAGCGGTCTGGACGACGGTGTGGACGAGAGGAGGAGCTGTCTCGACAACTGTGTGGACGACAGGCGGAGCGGTCTCAATGACGGTGTGAACGACAGGCGGAGCAGTTTGCACTACCGTGTGAACAACGGGTGGCAGAGTGTGAGTGATGATCTTTTCCACGGGAACCTCCTTGGTGATTTCGTGAGTGACAGGAGGCGCGGAGACAACTCGTTCGGAGGTGACGACTTGAGGGGGTAGGGTAATGTGGAGGGTCTCAGTGGCCACCTGGGTGATTGTGTGGACGAGAGGAGGTGCGGTTTGAACCACCGTGTGAACGACAGGCGGCAGAGTCTGGACGACGGTGGCCACATGCGTGATAATCTTCTCAACAGGAACCTCCTTGGTAACATGTTGAGTAACGGGAGGCGCAGAGACGATGCGCTCGGAAGTGACGGTGTGAACAATGGGAGGCGCCGTTTGGACAACCGTATGGATGGCTGTCTCGGTCTGGGTGATGTGCACCGGAACCGTGACTTTGACTTCCTCCTTCTTGGTCTCGACAACGGTATGGACAACGGGAGGCGCAGTCTGGACGACAGTGTGCACCGCAGTTTCGGTTTGGGTGATATGTACCGGGACCGTCTGTGTCACGTGTACCGGAACAGTGACCTTGACCTCCTCTTTCTTGGTGATCGTCTCCTTGACTACCTGCGGAGGAGCGGTGATAGTGACGTGCTTCACCTCAGTCTTAACCTCGTGCTTGACTTCGGTTTTCGTCTCGGGCGGTGCGGTGACGGTTACATGCTTGACTTCCGTCTTGATTTCGTGTTTGACTTCCGTCTGTGTCAAGTGTTTGACCTCGGTCTTGACTTCATGTATTGTGGTAGGGACTGTGACATGAACGACTTCCTTCTCTCCCGGCACCGTGACGTGTACGGTCTCCGTCTTGACCTCGTGGACTGTTGTCGGTACATGAACCGTGTGTACGATGGTCTCGGTCTTGGGCTCGCACTGAGCAGGTGCTGCTGCTGGGGGGTTCGGGGCAGCCACCGCCACTGAGGCGAGCCATGAGAGGATTGCGTATCTTGAAAGTAACATGATTGTTGAGTCGGTATATGGGTGTAGATATCGTGTACTTGCGAGTCCGGACGTCGAAAAGGAAGGAAAGACACAGAAAGGAATAAAGGAATGTACGAGGCTCGCCTCTGAACGGGGTCGAGATACCGGTCTCTGAGTTGTTGAATGAAACGAAGTAAACAAAAAGCCGCAGCGAGCTGGCGATGGGCTAGCTGCGTGGAAGAAACGAATGAAAGAGAGCGCGTGTGCGGATGAAGTGAAGGGGGACAGACCTGCTGATCACTACATCTCTGCAAAGGAGGGGAGCCAAGTCATTATATCAGACGGGGCCTGGTCATCGCGAGCCTTGGCTGCTGGGTTGGGATGGGTCTTGCCAATGCACATCGTCCGCAACAACCGGTGCACGGAAGATCGGATGCGCGCGGGCGATAGCAGGGCAGGAGGTGTGGTGGCTTTTCCTGATCATGGCCTGGGCATGGGAGTGCCGGAGGGTGGTGTGAAGGTGATGGAGACGTGGTGTTGTCGTCACATTCGTGGGGAGCCGGGGACCGGGGGTAGCAAGGCGCGAGCGACTCCTCAGACATGATGTCGAGCATTGGGCTAGATCATGATGGAGGCTGAAGCCGTGCTGGATGCGGTGAGGGCCCGTGGGCGAGAGACAGCGGTACTGGGTGCACTAGCAGGTTTCTAGCGTGGCTGTAACCGGGCCAAGATGGGATCGCAAGTCTTGCTGCCATCTGAAAAGTGACGGGACGGTTTCCGAGGGAAGGGATGAAAGACCAGGGTCTGTCTGTTTTGGCTTTGCGGCTCTGGCAGGGGAGTTTAGCCACGGCTGAAGGTCGAGGGCAGAATCTGTCGGGCCACGGGCAGAACTCGAGGCTTAGCCTTCGTGCTCGGGATCTTCAGGGGTTGTTTGCCATGTCGGACTAGCAACGGCCCCTCGAAATCAGAAGAGGAAATCCGGAATCGAGTGAAGCCGTGAAAGACGCGAGCTCAGCTCTGGCTGGGCCTCCAACATGAAACTGGATGTTGTTGACTGGTTGCACCTCGCCTGTCTTCCCCTGGTTGGGTGCGGTGATCATGAGAAAATCTTTACGATCATGATCTTGGCCGTTGTGCACGGGATGAGATGGTGGCAATGCCATGTCTTGGTGCCAATCCTTACTTAGTCCTGGGCAAGCCCTCCATCATTCCATCATTATCCAGGTTTGATGAACTCTTGACGACTTTATGCTTTCTTGAGGGAAACTTAGCCATGACGGGTGATGGCCAACATCTCAATACGGAACCTTCACTGTCCCCCCAAAAGAGCTGATAACATCGCATGAAGTCGTCCCCGTTTGTTTCTCTCTACGCAGCGCCTCAAACCCCCACCGGCACCTGACACATGTCAGCAGCCAGGTGGTACTCGAAGCGGCCCAGCGAACATGATCTCTCGCTGCGACCCTCAGACTTTCAGAGGGACCAGACGAACGTGGCGGCGCCCAGGGGTGGCTCCGGGGCACAGGGCCACAGCGCCGGGATTCAAGGTGTTAGTGCGTGTGAAGAGCCTGCAGCTTCTCCGTCCTGGGTCATCCGAAACCCCCGCCAAGATCTGCCAAGATTAAGCCCTTGTAAGAGCCCACCTGGACAGGCATGCTTAGGACGAAAAACGAGGAGGTACGAAACGGAATCAGCTCAGTTTCCACATAACGGACAGTCTAGCAGGGCGAAGGAAGGGGGCTCAGAGCGGTTCCGAGGTTTCGGGGAGCTCGTCACAGAGGGCATTGGGGCTATTGGGGCAGATGCGGGTGGTGGATGGTGGATGAGGAGGAGAACCTAGGGGCTAGAGGAGCCGTTAGACACGCTGAAAGGTGAGCCAGCAAAGTTAGGGTTAAGCATTAAGGTTATTTCGTTAGGGTCACTCTACAGCGACCTCGCTGCCTGTCACTGACCTCATCCAAGGCCCGTCCTCCCACCCCTGGCAAGGGTCCCCGCTGCTGGTCGGATTCACTGTGACCCGGGCCCCTGATATGGGCCGGACAGGGGTCGCTTCAGTGGGAATCGTGTTTCTTCATGGCCAATTGCGCGTCTTCACAATATCATGACAGCTGGAATGGGCAAAAATGCGACCATGAATGCTTCTTCATCCATGCGGGACGGTGATTGATCATAAAAACCTGGCGCCCCTCACTTTGGCACGAAACCGGGATGCTCCTGCGCCCCGACTGCGCGAGTCATCCATGCGTCCCCCGACATGACACTCAGCTTCATCAGCTCTCTGATACAAAAGGGACCACGAGCCCTGCTGCACTGCATTCTAAGTCTTGATAGACCTCTCTCATCAAGTGGTGTTCAGAGTGGATGGCCGCCAGTGATTGCATTGTTCGCCGGTTCTCTCGCAGTAATGACAAACCTGATGACCACAGTACTCACCTCGCCGAACAGTGGAGGCTCTCTTCTCCTGCTCGCCGAATTTCACATTTCCGGTGATCAGTTCGCTTGTCTCTCCATTACGTATGCCATTCAAACTGCAGAGGCTGAGGTGTTTGACAATACGGACTGAAGAAATGCATACAGTCTGCTCTGGCGGACGACAAGAATTCGTGATCAACTTGAATGCTCAATTCTTGTAGCCTGTAAATTGTACGTCTTGAGCCGCGTTAAACTTGCTTGAGGTTTTGTGATGAAGTTGTTCTGAATGCATGTGCGAATGCAATCTTATGCATCGCCAAGAGCATGGATAAAACATCTCTAGGGCCATTGATGAGCAATTGGCAACGTCTTCCGTCTTTTGATCAAGGCGACAGTGAAACAGAACGGTCCACCTCCCTCTTCTTGTCTTCCCATCTCGAACATTGCCCCCAGCCATAGCCCCTTCGCTCCCGGCTGGGCATTTCTTGGATTAGTGATCCGAGCGTACGCATCTCTGAGCCAGCACTCTCGGTGCTCCAGGGCTCAACGTGATGCAATACTTAAAAGGAATAAAAATGCCTTGCGGTGTAGGGTTCTTGAATTTCGTCCGCAGCCTTACGGATCGTGTGGGATGGACTTGGTGCGGGGAAGACATTCCGTATTACTGATCCAGGCTTTCTCGAAGGTGGAGGTATGAAGCCCAGTGTTCACGTAAACTAACATTTCAAGCCATAAAAGCACAGTGAATAGTATCCTGGCAGTATTCATTTCATATGATGAGAAATTCACAGCTAAGTCGCGTCGCTTGATCGAACATACACAGGTTTCCCCGCACGTAGGTGATTCTTCACCGAATTTTGGATTATTCAACTTGTCCGAATCCCACTTGAGGCATCATATCATAGCACCCAGTGACTTTCTTGTAAATTTAAGAACCTCGGCCGATCGAGTGTGCTGATTAGACTTTGGTCGAGTCGGCTGCAACATTCATAAATAAAAAGAAGCGAATGAATCCACCCGTGCCTTTGCACCAACAAGCTCTCAACAACTGGGTTTGCAAAGCAGCTGGGAAATTCATACAAACTCTACCTCGTTGAAACAACTGAAAATGGCCGAATTAAGAGCCGCAGTCTACACAGCCCCTCCCATCTCTGCCAAAGTCCCCGGCCGTGATACCACGATCTTCTGGTCCCCAATATCTTGTACCCTCGTCTATTCTGCCAGAGAAGCCGTCCTCATCGACACTCCGATCACGATCAAGCAGACAGAGGAACTCATTGCATGGATTGAGAAGGTCGCGCCCAATAGGAAACTCTCCTATGCATACTTTACCCACGGCCACATAGATCACTGGGCAGGACTCCCTCTCCTCTTGAAACGCTTTCCTGAGGTTGTGCCGCTCGCGACCGTCGGCACCATCAAGCACATGGAACAGGAGATCGAAGAAGGCTACTTCAATCGAGTCTGGGAGTCCCGTTTTCCCGGTCAGATCCACAAACCTTTTGCCCTGCCGCAGGCCTTACACAACCACGTGTTCAGACTCGAAGACCGCTGGGAGTTTCATGCGATCGAGTGCGGACACAGCGACACGTACGCTTCAACTGTGCTTTGGCAACCCAATCTGAAGCTCGCTGCATGTGGAGATGTAGTCTACGGCCAGGTGCACCAGATGCTGTACGAGGCGAACACCAAGGCCAAGCGTGAAGAATGGATTAGGGCGGTCGAGAAAGTCGAGGCGCTAGACCCGGTTTATGTCATTCCAGGACATCGGCAGGCTGAGGAGATTGATGGGGTTTGGCACCTTGCTGCGACGAAGAAGTACGTTGAAGACTTTGGGGAAATTGTTGAAAAGGGGCCAAAAAATGCGAAGGAGGTGTTCAAGGAAGTGATGAAGTTGTATCCCGACCGATACAACCCTGGAGCGGTGCAGCTCAGCGCAGCTGGAGTATTCATGTCTCCGAACACCAAAGATTCTCGCATTTGATCCGATGATGTAGAAGGTTCCTGGAATGGACTTGCTGATTTGTTGCGTTTGGATCAATTCTTTGTTCTGTCACATTACCAGAGACGCTGCCAATCCACAATATTCAAGATAACACCTATGCGTCATCAAAAGTCGTAGAAGTGACACTGAATATTTGCTATGCCTGCTGCACCATGCAGGTCGTATGTCACCAGGGGTTGCAAAACAACGCATTAGGCGTTGCAATTGGCTATTATCTGTCTTACGTGACATGCCATCGTATTCGCAATTATGCTTCAAACTCGGTTATGTCAATGTGCAAAATACCTTAGGCTGTTCTAGCCCCATGGGCCTGTCATCACCTCTGATTGAAGCACTCATCTGCGCCATGTATGTCAGCCTGCATATATGAAAGTGGAAGTCTCGTAGCCAATCCTCTAGGAGATGGTAGACAGGCGCGGTACAAATAAGAGCCCTGTCTCGCCTTGACCCATATTTTACAGGTCAGCCGCAATCTATACATATCGCAACTGTAACATCCCCAACGATGAAATTGATTCACATTGAAAATCTCGATATTCAAGAGTTCTTTCACACTCTACCGCTATATGCGATTCTGTCGCATACATGGGAGAAAGATGAAGTGACATTTCACGACGTCAGTCAGAAACGGGTCGACGGCAAGGCCGGCTGGATTAAGATCACCAGCTTCTGTAAGATTGTCAATGAGTATCTATTGGACCCTGTCAAATATGTATGGGTTGACACTTGTTGTATAGACAAGTCGAGCAGCGAGGAGCTCTCGGAAGGCATCAACTCTATGTTCCGATATTACCAAGAGGTAGTGTCCTGCTTCGTATACCTCGCCGATGTAGGCTACCCCGATCCCAGCAAGCCCGTCGACACGTCTTTTGAGAGATCTAGGTGGTTCACCCGAGGTTGGACACCACAGGAGCTGATTGCTGCCACCAATTTGGTATTTTTCGACAAGGAGTGGCACCGCATCGAAACGAAAGTCAACTTGGCTTCCCGAATTTATACCACGACGAAAATCGATGAGATAACTCTCATATCGGGAGACTGGTCAGGTGCTAGCATTGCACAAAGGATGTCCTGGGCCTCGTCGCGAGAGACGACACGGCGGAAGATATCGCCTATTGTCTTCTCGGCCTATTCAACGTGCATATGCCTCTACTTTACGGAGAAGGCCCAAGGGCGTTTATACGTCTTCAAGAGGAGATTCTCAGACAAAGTGACGACTATTCTCTCTTTGCATGGGACGCTTCTCAGGTAGAGGAAAACATCGCCCATATTGGCGTTCTCGCTACCCATCCTAAGTTCTTCAAAGACTCAGGCAGCATCGAGGCCTACCCAGTCGCTGGTCCTATATCCATATCGAACCTAGGAATCCACGCTCAACTGTCCTTCAAAAAGAACGCTACGGGCCAAACTCTGGTACATCTGCCATGCGGCTTTGCAGGAGACGTCGACTCTGTTGCTGTGCTTGGTCTGAATATTTTCCAAGCAGAGCCTGTCATACTCAGCAGAGCCAGGTCAACATTTCGGGTTTCGTCTACCAGCGAAATACTTCGCCCCGAGCACCATAGCGAGTTTTATCTCCTCAGAACAAGTCGGGCAGTCCAGAGCATGGTCAGCAAATGTTGTCTCACATACTCGTATATCCGCAAAGACTACAATCGGTTTATACCGGTTCGATTGCATCCGCGTCAGATGTGGGCATCCAACTAGTCCACAAGATCAATGACTCTCACCTTACCGGCCGATGGTGATAGGATGTTCAAGGCTGCTGCAGTGTTTTGGTGCGCTGCTTTTGAAGGGTGTTTTGCCGTCATTTTAACGCTGAGGTGCAATCAAATGCAGGGCAACGTACAACTTGTGGAAGGTTCCGACGGAATGCTGCCTGACAGGCTCGAGGAAGTGATTGAGTCTCTGCCGGCGCCGGAGAAATCGAATCATTCGCGATTGGACTCAGGTATCATGGCCACTATCAATATCAAAATCATTCGCGGTGTTCGCATGTTCGCGGTGGTTGTCACGCAGTTGGAGTCTTTTCCCCCGCGGCAGCAGCATAAGGTGAAACAACCGGAATCTCAAACTTCCCATGGATTCTCACTACCATTCTTCAAGAAGAAAAGAGAAGCCTCATAGTTGCACTATGAGAATGAGAATACACTTCTACTTCAAGTTCCTTGTATCACATGCTTGGTGTCAACGTACTTGCATTAAAATACAAAAACCATGATAGACAAGAATATGAAGCAGTTTACAAAGTAAACAGGACTAAATTCTCGCAGACTGCAAGATATGCTTTTCCAGAGCGTTTTACTAATAGAAAATTTTGAACTCGATTTAAATTTGCGTACAGCAATGGGGTTGTAATAACTCGCATTGAGCAAGCGTCAACATTTAGAAACAACATTAAGAAAAAACAACAATTGAGGTCGCTCATAGCGAATCAGTTCCACCGCCCCTGCATTCAATCCTAGTCAACGGACATGACGATCACTCAAAGGCCCACACAAGCGTAGGTATTGGCCCATAGACCGGTGCAGCTAGCCCCAGCAGCGGGGTTCCACTTGATGAAGTTGGCAACGGTGATTCCATACTGCTTCGAGATGGAGTCACAATTCTGGCCGCTCTGGACGAAATGGAACTTCTTGCAGTTGGAAACCATGCCGTCTTGAATAGGCTGAGGCGTGGTGTTGGCCGGAGGCGGCGTCGTACCTGAGCCACCAGAAATGCCGGTGCAGAGATAGTACCCTGCCCACATACCAGTACAAGCGGTGCCGCCGATGCCCTTATTCCAAGTCGCAAGCTGAGCAACGGTAACACCCACGGACGAGGCAATGGTACTACAAGTATCGCCCGCCTTGACGAGATGCCAACGGTTGCAGTTGTCAACCATGCCGTCCTGGATGGGCTGCGGCGTGGGGTTGGGCGTGACCGTTGGAGAGGGCTGGGTGGGCGATCCGCCGATGATGCCGGTGCAGACGTAGTATTCAGCCCAGATTCCAGTGCAGGCAGCGCCACCGATTTGCGTGTTCCAGGCTGCGAGCTGAGCGATGGTGACGCCGTTCTTGGAGGCGATGGTGGTGCAGGTGTCGCCGGCCACCACCTTGTAGAAGCGGTTGCAGTTGTCTACCATGCCTGGCTGGGTCGGATCAGGAGTCGTAACACCATTGGCTGGCGTAGTGGGCGATGGAGTGGTCGCCGGCGCCTTCGAGGTCGTCGTCGTCGGTGTCGGAGGAGTTGGCGGCTCCGGGAAGCCGGAAGCAGACTCAATGCAATACGAGTAGTCCACTTTCCAGTCCCCGCACGTCTTGATGGACGGATTCTGCCATGATTGTTAGTCTAGTGCCAAGTTTGGTATAGTCATGCCGGAGGTTTCAGTCAAGCTCACCAGTGCTGTTAGTTGTGCAGCAGAGATCCCCGCAATGATGAGGACCGTGTCGCAGCTGAGGCCGTCATCAGAGTTCCACCACAGGGTGCAGTCGCTGGGTGCGTTGGAGTCGTGGTCGTAGAAGGGCACCGAGCTATCGAAGCGGCGGGGGGCCAATCTGTCGACGCGCTTCACACTGATGGCGGTGCCTTGAGCGACAAGAAGGCCAAGGGCGGCGAGGACGGAGAGACGAGGCATCTTGCAACACAGCGTTCCGATTCCAATAATGTTCCTGTCCAGTGTGCATATGAAAAGACGAGGAGGAGACGGTGTTGTCGAATGATACCGATGGCTCCTTATCTACCCAGACACGCCTTCATCTTGATAGCACGACAATGAGTATGTCCGCTGGCGACAACTTAACCATGCCCATGTCAGACTGTCTTTTGACGAGGTTGAATGAGAATTCCATTCACAATTTGGTACACGTAATGGCTTCAAGCCAAGATTTGCGCGAATTTGATTCTTGCCATCGGTTCAAAAACATCCCGGCTCTCTGAGTCTTGATGAGTCGATCTCAGCAACTCAGCACATACAAGCTTCCTCTTTAGGTGTATCCGTCGTCGGTTACATGCTTCTAAAATGACCATGCATCTTTGAAAAAAGCACCGCCACGAACTTGCAGAGGCTGCCTAGAGCTCCTCGTGATGGAAAAAGGGAGGCCCCTCATCGGTTATCCGGGACTACCCACCGGCGTAAGTGGCACAGTTGACATGGCTAGGAGGAAGAACCAGGGAAGGCTAGAACTCTTATTTCCTGTTCTGCGAGATCAAAGTCATGCTACATCGATTATGGAAGACTTTTCTCGTGATTCATTATTATATATGTGTCAGCCTAGATACTGCTTTGCATCATGACATAGTAGCTTGCCACCTCGGATAAGAAAGCCCACCAATAGCCAATCATAAAGCTCATACCAAGATTGTAGAATCTGCAATGTCTCATGCCAAGTTGGGACCTGCTTTCGAGTGGCAGCGCTTTCGGGGTCCATGCATGATCTGTACGGTCATTTGGTAGTTGTGCACATCATAAAAGTAAGGCCAGGTACCCGCACTCTACATATCCAGCGGTTAGGGCCGAACCCAGCCGGTCATTATTGCCGAGTTCCGTTACCAAGACCAGGACGCCACTCGACCGTTTCCTTTCTTGGTGGGGTGGTATGCTTAACGGCTAATGCGGAGGTGGAGCTTGGGTAGGGCGGAGAATCAAATCAAGTGTATGTTGGAACCACTTGGCACGCTTTGGCGTCCAAGTACATACCTGACGAGGCTTTCTCGTAAACCAACCGTGATGCTGCACTGCGCCGCAAGTTCCCGCAATCACCTGAGCTTGTGAACGTCTGGTGACATGGCCATGACCCACGCGAGGCCTCTTCGGTCTGATAACCTGCATTCTAACATTGACGCCAATCCCAGACGCCGATACGAAGATAGTACATGTAGACCATGATCGGATGTCTTTCTAGATGAGGTTTGAAGACTCCCGCGTCAACCACAAAACAGTGTTGAATTCGTGTTACTATGTATGGTGACGACTCAAAGGAAGTTGACTGCGGCTAATACGAGCGGAAGTAGGGCCCAGCCAACCACAAAGCCTGTGGCACATCCCATGCTCTCCTTCCGTGGGCATGGTGCAGTGATTGTCTGCCACTCGCCCTCCTCGCACCTCAGTCTCCGTAGCACCGCGGCAGACACGTTCGCCGCGACCTCCTTAGCAGCTGACTTGAATACGCACTTCGGATTCACATCTGTCTCGAAAACCGGGCATGGCTTGTCGTGAGAGTATGTCTTTTTGAAGTCGGTGATACGCACCGCAACCGAGGCGTTCTCGTCAGACGCATCGCATGAATTGGCGGCAGCTTCTATATCAGGACGCTGCGCACCGTCAGCTGTTTGAAAGAAGATTCCGCGTGAGGCGTATCCGGGTCCATTCGACCATCTGGACTCCGTATCGTTGTTGGTAAAGCATCGGTATGGGAGTTTGACCTCCCATAAAAGCTTGAAGGAGTCTGCCGTTCCGTTGGTCATGTTGACGGAGTCAATATGAAGGTATCGCGTTGGCGGTGGGGAATCCATGAAATCAGTTCCAAGTATATCGCTGAGCAGGCCAACCCATCGCCATTTCCAATCGGGTCTGGTCTCATTGAGGTCGTCGCCGATGGACGTCACGCTAGCACTGAGTCCGATATCCAGGGGCCAAACAGCGTCAAGATTATTGAAACCGAAGACGATGGGAAGTAGCTGCGTCGGGGAGTACGTCTCGTTATCGCGTGGGAAGATGAGATCGACTTCCACTTCGGCAGGCAGCTGTCGTCCAGCGTTAACGACGTTGGCTGCGACGAGAAGTCGCAAAGTGGAACGGAAAAAGCTGAGATTTCTCATTTTCGCGGTGATTTGGCTGTGGATGGAAGAGATGGTGGATCGTGGTGGAGGGAATTTGAACAGATGGGAGGGGCAGAAGAGGTGAATGCTGTAAGAACCTACGCTTGCATATGCGTGACTGAGATGAAGCCAAGCCTCAGGTCGGGTGACGGAACAGCAGCCAAGACTTTCCGCTCCGCGCTCCGCGGGCCGCAACCCCGAATAGAGGAGCGATACTCTCTTGCAGCCTGCTCGCTAATACGGGGGAGCGGAAATGAGCAAAACTTTTGAGCAAACCAAAGCATTGTTAAAACGGTTCCTCATCAGTCCTCGCTTCTTTTGCGACCTTCTTGTTTGAGCAACATAAGTCATGAGTTGTGCCGCCAAGGCCATGAACCTTGCTCTCTTTTCAAAGCCCACAACAATTAATTTACACATGGTTGGGTCAATTTAGCCGAGGGATCGACCCAGGGCAGGATATTCGTCTGGTCCGTTATTACAACAACATCCAACAAGCTAGCTCCTTCCTCGACGAACAGTTACCGTATCCAGCGACTGTGCCATGTTGATGCAGAGGAGCTAGAGATGGCCGCAGTGGCGATGGCCTCAAAGTATCAGCGGGGGACTGGGCACAGGGTCAGCCTTCCGAAATTGAAATTTGTTGTGTAAGTTGACGCCGAGAAATAATCTAAACCCCGCCTAACGCTCTCCCAACTCACTGGAAGAGATAATCAGCGACTGGGAGAATTTGATATCATCGATGGTTGGCTAGGCCTCTTTGCTGTGCTTGGCCAGACTCATATAAGAACAGCAGCGACCGAGGTTCTTGACAGCACCTCTACTTGCTGCGGCCCCTTGCCAGTCTTTCCTTTGACATTATTTGTCTGTTCATTCACTCTTTGACCCTTCTCTCGCCAATAAACGCTATCTTGGTCTTACACGATGGGCCAACGCTACTTCCTCCCCTTATTGGGATTGGCGAGCTTAATTCCTCGTTCCATAAATGCCTTGGCTCCGCTCAGGGACCTGTGCCCAGTGACCTGTCTTGAGGCTGGGTCGGATCCGTCAAACTGGACTGTCGTTGCTGAGTTTAAGCAACTTGAGGCATGCCAGAGGCCGATGGTGCTAGACTTCTCGGTCAATATACCTGTGACCGACAAGCAGCAGATTCGGGTCTGTAATGTTTTTGTCAACGACTTCGATTACCACAGCGCCTCAGCTTTGTCTTCTCCTACGAATGAGACCATCACCAGGCAAGTTATCCCTGAATTGGCATGGACACCTGCCACGTCTGGCAACGAGATTGGTGGCAGACTCGTGGCACAGAGCGTGGAGCACTTGAGACGTTACCTCGCAAACAGCCGCCAAACCAATGATCGCATCATGCTATTCGGCACAGTATCCGGCACCACTGCCGGTGTCTATGTCGGTGCCGACCTGGTGGGATCTAGCGTCGCAGGACATCTCTTTGACTCTTTCCTCGACAATCTCTACGTCACTGGCATCGCCGATTCCAAGTCTTCTCTCGTCCAGGTGTGCGATGACCTCACCGGCAACGACATCTTTGGCCTCATTGCGGTCTCAAGCACTGACTTCGGCATTGTTCATGATGCCGTCGGACGCTGGTCGAACGGGACCTGTGTCGACACCTCGTCATACGCGAAAACTATTCAACTCAGTGCCACCAATGTTTCCACGATCAAACCAGAGATCCCAACAAACCCAACAAACGGCACAACACCCAACAACTCAACCGTTTCTGTCAGAGGCTTTTTGCGACCACGCGCAGACTGCCGGACCGTCACTGTTGATGATGGGGATGACTGTGGCAAGCTCGTCACCAGATGCGGCGGCGGTCTCACTGCCGCCAACTTCTATAAGTACAATCCCGATTCGAAACTATGCTCAACGCTTCAGCCTGGCCAGCGTGTCTGCTGTACCGCCGGCGAGCTGCCCGACATCCGACCCAAGCAGAACGCGGATGGGTCCTGTCACGCCTACCAAATCAAACAGAACGACTTTTGTAACAAGATTGCGACGGCAAATGGTCTCACTGTGAAAGAACTTGAAAGCTTCAATCAAGACACCTGGGGTATGTACTTTTTCTGTCATTCTTATTTGTGAGAATTTCTTCTACACTCCTTCTACACTCCTTACTTGCCGTCAATCTTATCGTTGTGAACCTCTTTAATTTTTGTGTCACTAACGGGCCGACTTGCTAGGCTGGAATGGGTGCGATGATGGCTTCTGGCCTGATAATTGGATTTGTCTAAGCAAGGGCACGCCGCCTTTTCCCTCGTCCATCGCCAATGCTCAGTGTGGGCCTCAGAAGCCTGGCACGACGATGCCGAGCGGATCTGCATCCAGAGACTGGGCAAAGCTGAACCCTTGTCCTCTGAATTCATGCTGCAACATTGTGAGTCTGAGGAATTTCCTTACAACTATCCATAGCCAACTGTCTTGAACTTTTCTTCTTTGAAACTGACCAGAGCATTCAGTGGGGACAATGCGGCACGACGACCGACTTCTGTATCGACACCAACACGGGACCTCCGGGAACAGCCAAGAAGGGGACGTACGGTTGCATCTCCAACTGCGGCATGACAATCGTCCAGAGCGGTCCGCCGGCGCAGTTCATCAAGCTCGGCTACTTTGAAGGTTTCAACTTGGGCAGCAGAGACTGCCTGAACATGGACGCCACACAGGTCGACCCCTCATTCACCCACCTTCACTTCGCTTTCGGCATGATCAGTGATAAGTTCGAGATTTACCAGGAGAATGAACTTGCTGAGTTCCAATTCAAGCAGTTTAAGAAGATCAAGGGTCCGAAGCGCATTATCTCATTCGGCGGTTGGGTCTTTTCTGCCGAGGCTCCCAACTACCCGATCTTCAGGAACGGTGTCAAAGCTGAGAACCGAAATAAGCTTGCGGACAACCTTGTGAAATATGTCGTCGATAATGATCTCGACGGACTGGATCTTGACTGGGAATATCCTTCTGTAAGTTCACACTTACAATCTTCTACAGGGACGTCTATTGACCTCATGAATAGGCGCCCGATCTTCCGGATATTCCAGCAGGAGACGTCTCTGAGGCTACAGACTACTTGAGGCTCCTTGCTCTTCTGAGATCCAAGCTTCCCAAGGGTAAAACGCTTTCAATTGCCGCCCCGGCTTCTTTCTGGTACTTGAAGCAATTTCCAATCAAAGCTATGGCGGAGCTGCTCGACTATATCGTCTACATGACCTATGATCTGCACGGTCAGTGGGACGCGGGTAACCAATGGGCTTCCCCCGGATGCCCGACCGGAAATTGTCTACGGAGTCACATCAACCGCACGGAGACCATGGGCGCCTTGACGATGATCACCAAAGCCGGTGTACCATCGAACAAGGTGCTCGTTGGTGTTAGTAGCTACGGCAGAAGTTTCCAGATGGTCGACCCGTCTTGTACCGGACCCAATTGTCAGTTCACCGGCGACAGAACGACATCGTACGCTAGGAAGGGCCGCTGTACGCAGACAGGGGGCTATATTGCCAACGCTGAGTTAAGTGAGATAGGTGGTCGCACCTGGACTGACACCGAAAGCAACTCCAATATCATGGTCGACGGTGATCTTTGGGTTTCATACATGGACAACGACCTCAAGGAAAGCCGCACCCAACTTTACAAGCGCTACAATATGGGAGGCACCATCGACTGGGCCGTGGACCTCGTCAAGTTTCACGATCCGCCCAATTACGGCATCGACTATGAGGGCATCGACCTTGGTCTTAGTTGGGCTATGGTCAAGCAGGGCATCAAGAGCGGCAAGGATGTCGATACGATTGGCTGCGAAAGTTCGCGTGGACTTCGCACTGGCACATGGGTTACAAAGCAGTGCACCATACGACCAGTCACCATCCCATCGGATTTTACCCCCACTGAAAGATGGGAGGCCCTTGGGGCCCAGGATGCCTGGACTGACGCCGTCCGGGTATGGCATTCATGCTACCAGAAGAAGACGCGACTCAGCTTCCATCAAGCTGTCGCTGAATTTCTCCATTTCGACTCTGACGCCGTAAGGAGTGACCTGATCTTGGTGGGTAGTGTACAGTGTTTGGGCTAATGTTCTTTTACAGGATTGCGATGATCTGGCGGCTGCGACTAACTGCGAAAGCTCCAAAGATTGTGTTACACACAACACCGCCGATGATGAGCCTGAGTTCCATACGGGGGCTGCAAGCTACGAAGTTTGGAACTCGATAGCTTCGCTCCACCGGGTAAGTTGATTTGAAGGGTCCGAGCATTCGCAAGAAGTATGCTATACCCTTCGTGCTATGTTGAATGCTGACGAGTCTTGCTTTCAAGATGATCAAGAACTACTTCAATGCCCTCATCAATGCTGGAAACGATTTAAAAGGCAACCATGAAGACTTCATCGCCACTTTTGCCCCAAAAAGGGATGATGGAACGGATCTTTTCAACCTCCTGTTGACGCTGATACCTATCCCTATCAACACAGCAGCAGCACGTTTCTTTGGAGGAGGTAATTTGAGCAGTCGCTCCGTTATCCAATTAGTTTCTCTCTGGAGCTTTTGCTGATAATCTGACAGCTTTCATGACAAAGGTTTTCTTCCAGAGTCCTGGCAAAGCGAATGCATGGGAGGCGGCAACTTCTAATATTGTGAATGCGGGTGCTTCGATTGCCAAGGACGCACTGAGTAAGGCCTCGGACAACCGAGCTGAGGTGTCGTTCAACGCAATCTACGACACAATCGTCACAAGCTGGAAATCGCAGACGAACCTGTTACTTGTGAAGCTCTTCGAAGGAGACGAACACAACATCAAGATTCTTACTGATCTCATCTCGGAAGGCAAGATGATCAAGGGAGGACAGACCAGTAGAAAGCGAGCAGAGGAGTACGACGGATTTACAGCAAGCTGGAAACAGGAGAAAAATATCGAGCGGGCATTCTATGCGGCTGCCATCCCCGCCGCCTGGACCGCCAACCGACCCGCGCCCGTTGTCGTCGATTTTGGCAACAGCTGCGAGATCGATGCGCGCGATTACTTCACTGAGGAGCCGAAACAGTACAACGTCGGTTGGCGATGTCCCAATGGACACTCATACATCCTCGCGGGCGTACGAGATGGCCCGCAAGGCTCATGCGGCCCGAACAATCCAGGGGATGGCGGCGGGTGCAACCCGACCCACAAATGGACTCTCGACATACTGGATGGTATCGCCCAACTTCAGGATGGCGACCTGGGCAAGTGGGGAGGCGTCACGGTGGACGACCTCATTATTGGGTGAGTTCAAGTCTAGACTCATCACTGCTGGAGTCGGCTTCTACGACGCCGGCCTACATATACACTTACGTAGAGCAAGACTGACTCTGACAGTGCGGTCAATACGTTCGAGAAGAACGGCAGAAAGAACGTGATGGATGCTACAGTGGGGGCGCCGGACATCAAAGACAAGTCCATCGCCGACGAATACAAAGGCTCAAGGATGGATGTTCGCAGGGGCGGCCTCATCCGCATCCCGGTCTGTAGTGCGGAGGAGGCGACCGCGAACCTCAACAAGGGCCGTCAGTACTACGGAGATTCGCCCAACTATCCCTGCAACCCATGATAGCAGCTTGCCTTCACAGATTCTCACCATAGGTGCATGAGGCGAAGGCTCGTTATTTTGACGGAATGACAGGGTTGGGTCTCCAGAAAGTAGTACGTGGAGCGATCAAAAAACCTAGTAGTAGGACGTGTCTTCACCTCTCTTTGCCTTCATGTACATACTTTGCCTAACAGGCTTCCCTATGCAATATCACACGAATGAACCTCTGACTCAAGTACCGTTCGCTGGCTGATGCCATTCCTCGCCATTGATTGTGGTTGTCAAGGTGCCATTAGCGTCGAAAATGTTCGTCATAATATCGATCAAAAGATGAAATCCGTCCGGGCTAGTCTTCTTGGTGCCATTGTTAGGACCTGTCTGAACAAGGTCGGAAGACCAATCAACCTGCTCCAGCGTTGGCGTCGGATTCCTTGCCGTGACCTTCTCAGTCCCAACGAGTACGTTCACACCATCGTCAGAAAAGTCATGGTACTCTACTGCGACAGATTCTGGCAAAGTCCCATCGCTCTTTGGCGTGATAGTGATGTTCGCCCAACCCCCGACTTTGCCCTTGAGTGTGAAGGTCCCATTCAGCGGCAACGGTCGTGCAGGAGGAGGGTCGCCAGGGGCGTATGGTGTTGCCCACGAGATTATGTCAGGCAAACATTCCACAGGCGACCGACTTTGGGATTTGCGGCTCGTGAGATGTGCAAGCATCATTCGCTCAGTTCGGCCTCCGGGTGCTGTGGATTCATAGCATGGGAGAGGGTTCGTGCCACCACAGTCCGGAGATGTGGGAAGGGCTTGCCAGTAGACAACGCGAGTGCCATCATTGGACCATCTCGGGTCGGCACGGCCGTTCCATTCCGGATCGTTGATGGCGCCACCGCCTGGGACACCGTCTCCCTCTGCGTTGAGCTTCTGGCCAAAGTATGATCCCCGATCCCCAAAGCCATCGATAAGCCAAGGCTGAAAGAAGCGACGCTGGCCGTTGTTTCTGGTTGAAGATGTGGCGCTACTGCTTACCAGGTCCGTCAGGGGTGGTATGCCCCGAAGCCCGGCCATGAACATCTGCCGCCCAGTACCGCGTGTGTCCATGGCGACAGTCCACTTGTCGTCCGGGGAAACATCGACAGGGTCGGTATACTCAGGGTGAGCTGTAAGCCTCCGAACCTTTCCGGTTGTGAAGTCGGCGGCCATCACGTCAATGTTAGATGACTCGATAGGATAGCCAATGAATGTGACCTCCTTGCCAGTACCGCTGAATCCGCGAAGCTCACCAACAACAATGGCATCGGGGTTAATCCGAAGTTGGGTGCTATCTTCGGGATCGATCTCGATGGGCTGTGGCTCGTTGACGTTGAAGAGAACGTTGACGTTCGTGAGATCATAACGAGGGGCGAGTGGCTCGCCTGTAGATGGTGCTGGGTTGAACTCGAGCCTTCCAACATATCCGTACTGGTCCACCTTGCCGCTCCGGACGGTAAAAGAGCTCCATCCCAGGTGCTTGTCGTCCGGATGAATACGAAGTTCTCTGATGCTGCCACCCACTCCAGATCCGTCGGCTGAGGTGTTCCATCGGATGGGGTAGACGTGAATCTTATCGGGGGTACACTCCTCGCTTGTGAGATCGGCTTCGCACTCGATGATGTTGGGGCCTGCAAGCAAGCGCTTGTTGTCGCTGAAGCTTTGTGGGTAATCGAGCAAGTCGCTGCGGCCGACAGCATTCTCCTCAGGGACACCACAGGTTATGCACTTCCATGCATCGCCACTAGGAAAGGTGGTGTTATCCACTTTGACAATGATCAACTGTAGTCCGGTGTAGATGCTCGCGGGGTCAGGGGCAGCAGGGGCACCGGTGAAGTTCACCGCTGCTACGACGTGAAGGTCATCCGGCAGGAAGTCTCCCGACTGAAGGCCCGTAGATTTTCCAATGCATCCTGTTCTTCGAGGGTTGATTTCATCAGTGCATCCGCCCACGCCGGTGTCTGCTGTTACAGGCGGCAGGGGGAGTTCGGTGACGGTGACAGGTTCCGGCGCGGGTGGCGGTGGGACTTCAGACTGCCGCCCCAACAGACCAGAATCGCTCGTCTGAAATGCGCTGACAAGATTTCCGAAGCGAGCTTGATCTTGTGGTGGAATGGCATAAGTGAGACCGACGCAGATAACGCCAGCGAAGAAATATTCGAAGCGCATCCTGGGGGATCTTGATTAGGAGTGAAATGAAAGTCAAGAAAAAAAGCGAAATGGCCCATGTTGGCCCAGACACTTTATAACTGACCCTCCGACCCCAGATTTTCAAATTTCCCTTAGCTGGTCAGCAAATATGCCTAAATGCCGAGAGATCTTGCGGGGTTTGGGACGGACGTTTCTACGGCATCCCATGCAAGTTGACGATCTACCCGAATTCCGAAATGACGGCAGGGAAAAGTATACATCATCCAATGTCCTCACTTAGGGGGCAAGCAAGGGCGAGCGGCTACCTACGTACGTTCGGGGGCTGCGGCAGTAGTCTGAATGGTCAAATTTTCGTATTGCGGTGCCGAAAACTCGCTCGGGGCGGGGCCGCCGGTATACGCGGGATGAGTGGGTCAGAGTACGGAGGATACGCCGGCTATACGCGTATAGGCCCCACCGGGTGACGTTTGCTACGGAATTGTTTTCGGTTCACTGTTACAGTTTTCGTAGAAAGTCTGTTGGAAATGTCACTTCGGGTTACAGCCGAATTTGGTTGCTTTCTTGTGACGACTTCGATGGCAGCTTGTGAGAACAATTTGGCACAATCGTAGCATAGTAGTGCAAAGCCCCGCGGCCCCGGTTGTGACCTGTGCAACCAGATTGTGGACTGCCGCGGCACCGGTGATTCTTCGGCGCTTCAATTTGGGTCAACCAAAGTCTACTGGCTGCACGAGTGCAAGGGATTCGAAGTGGGTGATGCACTAAGGCGTGGCTCGTAGAGCACCACGAAGACGGCGATGCGAGAGAAAGTCTGTCCGGCCGCTTGGATCTCAAACTATGCTTGCTGTGAGTAGACTGCCCGGAGCCGCGGCGTTGGTTCTTTGGGGTTAGAAGTTGATGTTCCGGTCTGCGCGGGCTGCTTCTGTTAAATTTGATGTTTTTCCAGACTGGGTTTACTGTTCAAGCCATCGGACGGATTAGCAGACACGTGCAGCAGCCGCAGCATGAACTTGAGCAGATTCCCGAGAGTGTTATCAAAGCCAGATGAAGACCAAAAGGCGCTGGAACTTTCCGGTTGTGACAATCTTTGGTCAAATATGCAAAGGGCAAGGCACCGATAATTTTGTGGTTGCTTCTTTATAAGTAGTATTAGGGATGCTAAGGTTATGTACCTTAGTAGCTATAGTTCCACGTCATCGACGCGCCTATCCTTCTTCTTATTATTCCCTTCCTGTTCCACGTGTTGGGACTCGGCAGAGAAATCACCTCGCTTGTCGCCACACGTCACCGTCAGGTCCGCGTCGTCTCCGTCGAATATGACCGCAATCTCCTCTAGAGTGTACCCTTTTGTCTCCGGAAAATAGAAGTAGACCGTGAAAGTAATGAAAAGGAGAAAGCAGCAGAAGACGATGTAATACTTCCACCCGATGTTCTCCAGACCAATGGGATTACAGAATGCGGCAATAACCAGGCAACTGTACACAGACACCATTTCGACAGCTAGTCCCTTGGAACGGAGATGATAGGGGAATATCTCGGTCGGGTACCCAAGTAGCAAGGGCGTCCAAGCGATATCGTAGTGAAAGAACACAGCGAAGACGCAAACAATCACAACAATACCAGCAGCTTGAGAGCCGGTCTCGTCATTTACTGCAGAGCACGCCGTCCAAATGACATATGAAACGAGCATACCCACCGAACTCCACAGGAATAAAGTCCTGCGGCCCAGTCGGTCAACAAGCAAGGCTGCAGAAGCCGCAGCGAAGAAGTTGAAAAGTTGAAGTAGGCCGTTGATCAGTGTCTGCGTGTAGACAGACGTGACACCGACCGAGTTCAAGACGCTGTTACCGGTTAGGGATGATGTTTCTCGGCAAGGTGGACCTTGCTGTTTGGCAACTTGCCTGTTGAGGAAGTATGACACGACACTCACCCCGTTCCACTGCGCGAAACCACCCACAGCAATAGCAATGATAGTTCGCTTCCTGTTGCCTGCAACGAGTCAACAATTATCGCCTCATCTCGTCAGCTGGGGCACAAACCTGGGGTTGAGATCAGGGCCGACCAGCCAACCAAGTTGGCTTCCTGTTGCATCTTGATCGCATGACTTATCTCCGCTAGCTCTGTCGCAACCAATGGAGAAAGCTCCGCATCGGAATCACATATGCCAGCGTGGTACCTTTGGAGGATTGCAGCGGCCTCGTGATGTCTGTCCTTAGCAACCAGCCATCGTGGCGATTCTGGCATCCACCAAATGAAGAGGAGTTGAATCAAGGGATATCCAGCTTGAAGTATGCTCGGAATGCGCCACGACCAGTCACTGGGAATGTCTTTTGTCCCAAAGGTGGTCCAAGATGACAGAATTGAACCTGTTGACCAGCTTCATTAGTAAATGTCACCTCATGTCACCGTCATCACACTCTTGCTAACAGACCTAGACAGAAGAGAGTCCAGTATGCTGACGTATACTTTCCTCGATGCGTCGGGTAGGCAAGCTCAGCAATCAGCATTGGGCTAGGCTGCGAGCTGAATATCCCGCCAAAGCCAACCAGCAACCTACATACTATGAACATTGGTAGATTGACAGCGGCGCCTTGGATTGCTGCTGCTGCACAGATGATGAGAATGCCAACTAGAAGAACAGGCTTTCTGCCGAAGCGGTCACAGAAGTCGCCGACGATTGGCAAGGCTATGAGGCATCCGATGGACTGGGAGGCAATGACAGTTCCTAGCAGGGCCCCTTTTGGATCGCCGAAGTATTCGCGCCACTGTTCGAGGGATTGCAGCGCATTCATCAAGGACGCTAGTCTCTGAATCAGTCGATGGTCTCCTCAGACCCCATACGTAAGTCCGCAGGAATTGGGGTCTAGGCCGAACATACCATCATATCCAAAGACGGAGGAGGACAACATAGGCACAAGCAGAATAAGATTGAGCTTGAGTAGGTGGGGTTCCTGGAACCAGAATTTGTTCGTACTAGGCAAAACGTCTGCAAGACTGGCGCCCACGATGCCTGCGTTGTTCACCATTTCCACTTAATATTCGATCGACTTTGTGTGAAGAAAGATGGTAGGGATAGCGAACGCAGTATACTGGCTTTCCAACTAGAATTGCTGAGGGAACGAAGGCATATATGTAATCCAGGCGCCGTCTTCAACTATGATTCCTTCTTTATTCCGCCGGCCTTTGGTCCCACACTGAGACGTAAACGTGGGGTGATCGTGACCCCGGTCTGGGGCCCCGGACTCGGCCTGATGAACATGCCTGACTTTCTTCACAGGCGAATCCGGTATTCGTAGGTACTGTAGTAAGTCAAGTCGTTCCTTGCTTGCAATGATGGCCCACTTAGAGTCGTTCTCCGCTCGGCGGCAGGCGGCAAGCGGGTAGCGGATAGCAGAGAATGCTGGCGGAACCACAAATGCCGCCGCCTTTTTTGATTACTGATACATTAAGCCTATGACAGACTAATTGCCATCACCGTTTCTCGCTGCCCTGAATGATTCAAAAGTTCCCTGGTTATACATGTATCCGCACCGCCGCATGCGTGATCTCGACTATTGTCTTTCGAGCTGTAAGTCTACGGACTGAACGGGATCCACAGTTCGATGTGGACAGTTGCATGCTGAACGTCGGACCACTTGCAGGCAGTTCCGCCCGGGCATTTGTACATGTACTAGGTAGTTAGATTCGCCGGGGTCAAAACCGGCCAACACCCGGGGAGCACATTACCCCGCGCCGAATCGTGCGGCTCGTCGCAATGTGTCTCGCGACCGACGCTATGATTCATCCAACTGAAGCACACTTTCCAGGCGCAATGATCCGCATTGCTTGACACCAAAGCATCGAATAATGCCATACCCAAGGAGACGCGCTCCCATCGCCTGTGAATATTGCCGCCACAGGTAACTGAGCCACACCAGTGCACTTCGACCATATTAACAGTATAGTCGTAGAAAGCGTCGGTGCGACGGAAGAACGCCTGTCTGCAGTCTTTGCGCGACTGCTGGAGTGGAATGCAAATATTTAGATAAATCTCCCGAGGTGTTGTATCGTTCAATGTGTCTTGGCAATGGTCGGCTGCTAACATATCCGCAGCCGGAAGGCACGGCGCCCGGACAACGCTGGGACTGCAGCTCTTCTTCAACGTATCAATGAGTTAGAGAACCGGCTCAGAGAATGTCAACGCAATGAAGCAGAGAGATCTGCTTGTTCGTCCTCTAGAAGTTCGACGCATGAGCCGACGTCATGTCTCGGTGATGACCCGCCAACTTCGACGGAAGGAGATCGCAACAGCGATCCCTTTCAGGTTGACGACGGAGTTGGCCAGACGGGAGGTAGCGCAACTGGTATTCCAAATGCTCAGATCGGCGTTCTCCCGGATCCCTTGACAGATATGTCCGGTGATAATGACCCGCCAATTGCACCTGGAGTTTCAACCCAGCAAACCTCTACACTAGGGTTGTCACCGTCCATATGGGCGGCGCAGCCATTACCCACGTCTGACTGGCTGCAACTTGGAGGTGCTTCAGTCCTCAACTACGGCCCTTCAAGCATACCGACCACTGATGAAGGGGGCTACTTCATCATCCCTAGCGGTCATCATACAACTACCTCAAGCTTACTCTCTATTGAACCTGTCCGAGCTCTTGTGGGTTATTATCCTGAAGGCTTGTTCTATAACTTGGAAGCCTCTCGAGAGGCTTCCCCAGTTATTCCCAGCGACATGATGTCTGATGATCTAGGTTTGCTACTTTCCCAGGTGGACCTGAGCCAAGGAACAACAGACAGACTTATCTCAGGCTTCTTTGCCTTCATACACCCTCAGTTTCCGATAATCGACCGCGACCTTTTCCCAGAAGTCTTCGAAATGTCAAAGCAGGATGTCTCCAAGCACATCTATGGACCATCTCTGGGTATGTGTCTACTCGTCCTGGCCTTGGGCGCTTTGGGCTCAACAGATAACCCGTTGAGCCCGGACGATAATGATAGCGCGGGGATGCCGTATTTCATTATTGCCTATCGTATCTTGACGACGATATGGGCCGGGTCATTCGACGACGATTTATGCCAACCAACTGGCATGCTACTGGCTGCTATCTATCTTTGCTTCAAGTCAAGGCCACTCGCAGCTTGGAAATTAGCATACATGTCATCGTGCAATTTGCAGCTTCTTACTCAGCGGTACGAAGAGCACTGCATATCCAGCAAGCAACATTGTTACTAACGACAACCAGGACAACGAGTGATTATGAAAAGGAGCACGATAACATGTTGAGTCGACTTTGTTGGACGTGTTTTGTGATTGAGTGGTAAGTTGTGGCTGTATGCTCGTCCAAATATATGTCCGCTAATGCTGATGCAGCGACAGCTTATCAGAATTCCACCTCCCAAGAACTGGGATTGAGATGGCCATAGATCGCATGAATTTTCCGCGGCTAGAAGCATGTAATGAGCGAGACAACGTGATGTTCCTAGCTCTTTGCTCCATCCGACGACTCTTGAACCGGATACACAACTCCGTCTACAGATCAAGCAATAAGCACGATCTGAGTCCCATTGACACAGTTGATCAGATGGATTTTAATTCTAGAGCTCAGCATGCACTTCTAGCACTGGTAACACTGGAAGGCATCTTAAATGAGCTGGAACGACAGCTTGATGCTTGGTACAGTTCATTGCCTGAGATCGTAAAGCCAGACCTCTGCAGTACGGTGCCTTCCGACACCCAAGATGCTTGGCTGAGGTTACGGTACTGGTCAGCTAGGCATATAATCAGCCGGCCTTGCTTAATGTACGCAATAACTTGGTGCAAGAAAGGAGAGGTTCAGCCAGAATATGTTTCGAGACATGTTGAGACGTGTCTAGACAGCTCTCGCAATTTCATTCGCACGAGTATACATGTACTCACGAAACAAACCTACTATTCTTGGATGGTTCTACAAGCGTCAGTTCACCTAGCCTCCGTTTTCCAAACAATACTGACTCTAACTCTTTCGCGCTCAGGCTGCTTTCACACTCAGTTCTCATCGTTGCGGCGGTCTCATGTTCCAGCATGAAGCACATGGTGCCGGAATGGAGGGATCTGCTTCAGCTTGCCGTTGAAGCTGTGAAGCCATGGTCAACGCGCTGTTCAAGCGCCGAGGTTATTTTGCTGATTCTGCAGACACTGCGTCACAAGGTTGGATCTTGTCACCAGCTGGCAGACGTGAAGGCCCGAAAAGGCCAGCATGGCGGGGTACAAAATGATTCCTGTTCAACATAGACGATGCATGGTAATTACACTGAAAATCTCAAACCCCCATTAGCGCAAACGACACTCCCAGTGCACCAAGCAGACTCTGGACCGCACAGCATTCCCACGATGTCAGCGACCTCGGTCCAATATGCGGGACGCCTTCCAGCCATCCTTTCGTTTGCGAGCCTGACAAGTTCTGGCCGGTCTGTGTCTCGAACCGCAGACAAGGGTGCAGCAAGCTGGAATGGCTCAAGCTGCTTCCAAAAGTCTTCGCCCGCAGCCCAGTACATATCTCCCTCCACAGGCCCAGGATTTACTGCGTTAACTGTTGCTCTCTCAGCGAGCTCCCGCGCCCAAGTTCTCGTCATCGCCTCCAGTGCAGCTTTAGTACCTCCATAAAGAGTGTGGGTTTTGAATCCCATAGTCGAGGCGACGGACGAGATATTCACAATACGTCCGGATCTATCGCGAGGGAGAAACGGTAGAAGCGCCTGAGTAACCATAATAGGAGCCAAGACGTTCACAGCGTAGATACGATGAAATTCAGCCATAGGCACCTCTCCTAATGGGTAGTCTCCACCGACTCCCGCGTTGTTGACTAAGATATTGACGGTCAAGTTCTCGGAGTGGCCGAACATAGCTTGGGCTGCCTCGACAATGCGACGTGGAGATTCTTCCGAATCGCTCAGGTCCGCTTGCACTGCAACGATTCTGACACCATGTGCCTCTTGAAGTGCGTTGATCAAGTCGTTTGCTGACTGCGTCGACGAGTCGGAGGTGTAAACGCCCAGGACATTAGCTCCTTTTGCAGCTAGGTGCTTGGTAATTGCTGCGCCAATACCTGTACCATGTCCATCAGTATATCTTGCTTGCCGCCGAGTAGACACAATGACTTACCGCGAAAGGCTCCTGTGACGACAGCTAGTTTGCCTTCTAAGGGACGAGACGACATTGTGTGGCTGCGATCTTTGAGCTTCACAGAGAAGGTGAATGGTATTCAGGTCCTCAGGACACTATGCGAAAAAGACGATGTAGAACGACGATTAGACTTCGCCGGATCATCACAAGGGCATTCTTATACATCGGGTCGAGCGGATGATTAACAAGAATATCGGTATTCAACTGGTGGCTCCCGGCCGGGGCCCACGACTCCACCACGCAATAGGTTGAACCAAGCTTGAAAGATAAATCGTACCTGACATAGCTGGCGGTTTGCGGTTTGCGGCTTGCGGCTTGCGGCTTGCGGCTTGCGGGAGAGAGTAACTGGAAGCATGGAAGTCGCCTGACACGAAGCGATAATGTAGAGTGCAAACGAGACTCCGGTTCTCCTCGAGGGCAAAATGGGGCGATACTGACATGGAAGCTAGTACATCAGATGACGCAGCATATCTCATTAAAGCTATCACTTGCGGGGTCGATTGATTCACGCGGTTAATTACCTTCTCAGAGTCAGGATTGCATGGGTGGCAGACGTCAAACGGTATGCGGCAGGCGGCAGGCGGCAAGCGGCAACTTGTTGACTTGGGTAGCAGTACCGAACCTCGTTGTGATGAATCATCTGAACCTTCTTGGCTTGGGGTTTTTAAGTGCATGTGGTCATGGCAGCGAAGGTGGATGCTGGAGAAAATTGCGGTAAGAGGGAACAGCTTGCGAGACGTCACATGCATGACAATATAAACACAGTTTGGCGGCCACTTGAGGCCCCGCCACAGCATACAGCTGCTATAAATGTGCAGCTTTCGTGGTTCCAGCTTGGGATTTCGTTTTGACCCTTTTCAAAAGCTAACAGCATCACCATGAGTAACACTGCAAGCCCGGAATTTCGAGAAACGAAGGAGCGCCAGGGCGGGGCTCACGTCGACTCGCGGGCTTTGTTTCGCTTAGACAACCGAACCATTATCAGTATGGCCCATTCGTCTTCACGCTTGCAAAGGCGTCTTTCTGACATGCCTCAACAGTCACAGGAGGGGCCGGATATCTTGGCGTGGAAGCAGCAGGTTGTATTCTAGATTCGGGAGGAGATGTCGTGTGTCTGGACGTGGTAGAAAGTCCTCGGACCGAGGTGTGGAGTAAGTAATCGGGAGCAGACGCCTTCGTAGTGTATTCCATATGTCTGACAACACTCGCAGATCAGCTTCTCGCAGTTGCCCATGAGCACGGTCGCTTGCTTTTCTACTATCGTTTGGATGTCACCGATGCTCGTGGCATTTCAACGGTATTCGAGACTCTCGTGCCCCAACTGAGGCATCCGATTCGCGGTTTAGTGGCATGTGCCGGCTTGTCTGACAACGACCCTGCCCACGTATTCTCGGTGGAGCGATTTCGGCGTTTGATGGAGATTAATGTTACAGGAACTTTCGCCATTGCACAAGCTGTCGCACTAGAGATGAGGAAAGCGAACGTTGATGGAAGTATGGTCCTTACAGCAAGCATGAGTGGCTCAGTTGCCAACAAGGTCAGTCAACGAACATCTCAAGCATCCTCACTGCTCCCTAATAAGTATGAACAGGGCGTAGATACGGCAGCGTATAATTCCTCCAAATCAGCTGTTCTCCAGTTGGGTCGATCTTTGGCAGCAGAGTGGGGTTCTCGTAAGGGAATGCCTCTAATTCGGGTGAACACTCTGTCGCCGGGATATATACAAACTCCGGCGACGGAAGAAGCGCTTCGGAAACCCGGCATGAAGGCTCAATGGACAGGGGATAATATGCTGTATCGGCTCAGTCTTGTGGATGAATTTCGAGGTCCCATCCTCTTCCTACTAAGTGACGCAAGCAGTTTCATGACAGGCGCCGACCTGAGGGTTGATGGAGGTCACTGTGCCTGGTAGGACTGGCTGTGTAAGATTGTACGCAAGCACACAGACATGCAAATATTAGAGACGAAGATGGCTGTTGGGACACAATCTCGAACACGGGTCGACACATCGACATTCCAGTGAAGTGAGCTGTTGTTGGTGTGGAAGATGCAAACGCTCTGCTCGTACCCAGGCCGATGTCCTAGATTCATAGTCCAAACCAGAATCGTTAGCAAGTTGTGCCACTTCTGGTATTTCTCTACATCAATGACAGCAATCACAATTTACGTAGTTAACAATTGCGACCGTAAGGCGAACTACGGTTTACAAGCTCATGGGCAATTACATCAACCCTTTTCCATTTACCAGTAAGTTTCCGAGGTGACGTTCGACGAATTTGGTTGGGAGGCATAAGCAATGCGTATTACTGAAAGTCGACAAGCTAGAGTATCTCGGAAAAGTGCTGCCAAGTAAGACCAATGCATATACAATCCAGGAACAGGGCATGAATGCCGTGCCGCCTGCCTCTTCCCGCCTGCCGCTCCTGAGACCAGGGCAGTAACCGCTACCCGCCGGTTGTGAACTCCTGAAAACGCTAAACCTCAACTGTTGGAAGCAAATGAGGTGGGTCAATTCCGGAATCAGGTTTGAATCGGTGGAACAGCAAGTGATCATTTTAACTACCTAGAGAAGCTTTGCAATGATTACAGAGGTTTGCAACCCCACCAGCCCCTCCGTGGCCACCAAGCCGCCATCAACAAAACCCCAGGCCACATCTCCCCAGAGAACCTCGCCAACTTCCCCAACATTAACTCCGTCAGGGAGAACCACTTTAACCTCGCCTGGAATGCCATCATAGTTGAGGTTCACAACGCTGATCAGTGCTTGTCCCTTGGCATTGTCCACCCACACCGTGGCGTCAACTCTCTTGGCCCCTTCAATGGCAAGGTCCTGCGTCCTCTTTGTGCCCAACAGGAAGTCTACCGCCGCTGTGTTTGTGAACACGCCAGCAAGACGACTGGTGAGGTTCTCCAACTCATCAGTGGCGGGGTAATTCCACATCACGATACCTTTGGCACCGTGGTTCACCGAGAGCATGGTCATCACGACCTCTTCGTCAGCTGTCGGGTATCGAGCCCAAAACGTCTCGTTGCCAAATGCCTGAGGCGCGAACCACTGCGTCTTTTGCCATCCAAGAATTTCATCCCGACGATAGAACTCATCCAGTCGTACGGAGATATCCTCGAAGTTACCTTCGCAGTCGTCGCACCCACAACACCCGTAGGTCGTATTACAAACCGTGTCGTATACCGGCGAGAAGGTCGCATTAATGGCCACAGGGTACACGTCCGACATGACAATATCAGCGCCTGCTGCGTAGTCTGCGTAGTAGAAGTCCCAGCAGTTTAGAGCCAAAGAGACTGGGTGGTACGGGTCCAAAGACTTGATCTGCTCGTACGCGATTCCCGTTGAGTTGGGCGGGTTCGCCTTTCCATCCGCCTCGTCGCTCTGGTACCAAAGCAAGATTGACGGATGTGTGCGCAGGCGAGTAACCTGATCAACCATGTTTGTCAAGTTGGGCCATGTCCATAGAACGTCATAGCGGAAGTAGATGCCGAGTTCATCGGCACGCTGGAGGTAGGGCTCAAACTCGTCCCATGGAAAGGGGATCTCGCCAAGACTACCCGTAGGCACGATGTGGATAACGTTGTAGCCCATCGCTGCAAATTCGTTCAGGGTATCGACGCTCTCGTTCCAGTAGAGAGTCCATTGGGCTTCTCGAAATTAGCAGAATGGCCTGAGTGGAAGTAAAGAAGAGCTAACTGTAGTAGGTGTACGCGAAGATCAAGTCCCATTCGGCATCCTTTCCTCTTTGCGCAAGGAGACCACCATAGAGGTTGTCAATGCGTGTTACACTACCGTATTCCTCCGGATAGGGGAGGAAGGAGAAATCGGTCCAACCCTCGTAGACGTGTGTCGAGTCGAGCGTTGTGCGCACGGTAATGTTGTATGCATCCATCTGCGGTGCAAAGGTATCCAGGGGAAGCGGCACCTCGTTGTCCACCGACCCCAATTCTATGTCTTCGGTCGCCAGAACATCTTCCCCGTTGATAATCTCAACCTTTAGTGTCTTTGGTGCAGCACTGGTGGAGTTCTGCCCAAATCCTGGAGGCAGAGGTGACCCGACTTGATTCGAGATTGCAGCGTCGATCAGCAAGTTCGCGGTGTCGTCGGTCTCGAGATAAATGCTCAATCGGGGGCGGACTTTGAGGCGCAGGAGCGGTACCTGCGAGATGGCAGGTTCCGGGAACCAGCCACCCGGGTCGAAGGACGAATTACTGGAGAATAACGGTAAGTATGTCGGCGAGCATCGCGGCTTGCATTACTTACGTCGCGCGGTAGGCTTTGCCGCACCAGATATCCACGCCCTCTGGATTGTTGAAGCGAATGGCCTGGCCGTCTACGAAGGGAAGCGCTGCAATCAAGGCCGCAAGAGGCCCGACGACCTTCCCCAGCATCATGATGGAAAAGTTATGCTTGACGCCGCGTCAATAGTGTCGCGACTTGGAACCCCATCCCTGAGATCGAGGAGGTTATATCAGCGGGGATTGCCACCACCCGCCCCAGCATTTGGCCCAGGGAATTGGATCGTTGCTTCTCGGGAAGCTGAGTGGGCCACATACTGCACCAGCATGACGACTTCTGTTGACGTCGGCCATATCAGGACGCAATTGCGGATGTGACTGAGGAGACTGAGGGGCAACAGCATCTCCAAATAGCGACGTTACATCTCCTCCAATTCATTTATCCTCGTTGCAAGGTGAGCTCATTATCCGGCGGCCAGGCGGGGACAGAGTCGGGGTTGAAAGTGCCGAGTCTGCCAACAGAGTTGGCACTATCAGCATCAATCGGGACCTACCTAGTTGAGGTAGTAATCTGCCCATTCAACTGCGGGGCTTCTGCGCGAGGTTGGATCGACGGCATCGTGCATGGGGAAATTGATGGCACCCAAGTGCGGGGAGATAAGCAGGGGTTAAGATAGTCCAGGAACTGTTTATCAGGCTCCGGTTTTCGGGGGAGCAGATTGATGAATTAGTTCGCACTAATTTGCTAGATCGTCAGCTTTTCTATCGAATGCCACTGTCTGCTGGGCGTTGTCTACCATCTTCAAGATCTCATGCAAAGTTTCAGGTTGCTCTTCCGCGTTACAAAGCAGACCGTTGCCTCTTAATTAGAAGTTTGGTCTACAAGCGTAGCCAGAGGTAACGCGCTGCTACCATCATAGAGCTTCAGCGATAACAGCATTCCCGCTAGTCGCGGAAGAGAAATTCTCTCATACTCCGGATCCCAGATGCTGCATTCCCTGGCCAGCAAAATAGACTCCAGCACACTCGCAATCTCCCGACTATCCCACATGCCTTCTTTCCTTCGCATGGCATAGAGAAGCGAAATGGCCCTTTGCTGCAGATCCAGCTCACCAGAGAAACCGGCAATGAGGCTCATCCGCGGGATCACATCAGCAGCTAGGGTGAAGACTGGATACTGCATCGGCTCAGCCTCAGTATACACGAGCGATTCGGCATCTTCTAGAAGATCCTGAAAATATTGCCGATCCGGAGGTTGTGAGCTCGGAGCCTCCAAGCATTTGATAATTACCGACCAGTCTTTTTGCATGACTGCCATTAGCCGCGCCTCCCATAACTCTTGTCTGGTCGTTGATGAACTTGACTTGAGATTCTTAATGTAAGCTTCAAGCCGAGCACTGAAGACATCGAAGAGATGGCGAGCGTGAAGCCATTCCTCGGCCCACTGCTCATCATCTCTTAGTGGTGACATGCCCTCTGGCAGATTCAAAAACGAGGTCCAAGACATCGGGATGCTGCCCCGAACATTGTAGCGTAAAGCTTTCCCGAAGGCCTGATCTACAAGGTGGAGATCGTACCGAGCATCGGTGGCGGAGAAATATGGCTTGGAAGCATCTGTGTTGCTATTCGCCCGGAAGAAGTAAGATAGGTCTGGAATGACCTCCCCTTCTTCCAATAAGTAGGCAGCATCGCAGCCCAAGCAGGTGAACATGTCGCCAAGATCACATAACTGATCATAATAGTTCTTGACTGTCTCAGCCATACACTTTTGATGCGCTGAAAGAGGTATTCCTGCCTGAGCATCGGTTGCTGCTTTTGAGAGGGCGATCATGATACCCGAGCCGGACCTAAGGTGATGCAAAGCTTTGTCGTAGCGTCCTTGCATGATTTCCAGGCAGATGAAAATCAAACAAGAAACGAGCGACGTCCTAAGAGTGGTAGGCGAAAGCTTTTCCATATCCAGGGCCGTGAAGTTCATGGCTTTGGAAAATTGTTGAGATGCCATCATATTGTATGTTTGTGCATCCGCAATCTGGTGGTCTCCCGTGTAGTCGCCTATGAAGCCTCGATGTGCACATCCCAGAGCTATCAGGGCGTGCTTAACCGAGTCGGAGTAGTATCCTAGAGGGATAATGTAACTGCTCCATAGCTTCTCCAGGAACGCGATAGTCCCGAAGCCGGCAACTGTGCACTTGCGTACATGATGGAACATGGCCCTTTCTGACGGTGTTCCCGAGATGTCCCAGTTGACTGGCGGCGGCATTGCTGATGCTTGACGACGCAACCGCAGTTGGAGACATCTGCACCTTTGACAAGTTGCCTGCCCATTGGCACAGCATCTCCATAGTGTCAATTACCGTAGCGCCGGAGAGTGTAGCGGAGATAGCTTACTTGCTACATAGCAGCCCAATTAGATCATCAGTCACAAAGTGAGGGTTTGTTGAAAACATACTGTGGCTGGTGTTTTGAAGGGGCTTCAGGGGTAACCTTCCCTGTCCTTCCCGACACCCTCAACATCCTCGGTGGTGGGGGACTCAAGCAGGCGGTGCACTGCGGCTTATCGCGTCAGGTACGATTTGGCAAAGTTTCAGGCAGGAAGCTTTCAGCCCGGGTCTCGTGGCTTCAATTGGGTGGGAGATGAGCGTAGCTCTGAGAGCGCGCAGTCGT